ATATAATTTAATTAAAGGAACAAAATTTACACAAATATTTTTTTTTTTTTTTTTTGTCTATTCTATATATTTTATGTATTTTGACACTTTTAAATTGCTCGTAAACGCATAAAAATCGATCGTCTATTTGTCATATCTTCTCTTGTAGTCGTACGAGACAAATTTTAACACGAAATGCCAAATGAAAATATATTATTCTATATTTCCCGCGTTGGGGAAAAATTCTGATATCGCATGGAATCGCTGTCTTGCCAATTGTACATACAAACTGGTCACTGAAACACTCTGTATACGTATACCTATATACATCTAACCGGAAGGGAGAAGTTCAAAGAGCAGAGTACACGGTGGAAAGTAATATCTGGCAACGCGAACTTATGCGGCAGCCGGCGTGTAATCGCGCTTTATATCTTATCAAGATCCCGATGCGACGGTGAATTATGTAATTGCAACGCGCTTTTCCCCTTCCGACCATCACGAGCAAGCCCTTTTAGAACGTTGAAAACGGCCGCGAAGAAGAAAATGTTTTTCCCCCTTTGACGCTCGCTCAGGGCTTGATATAGAAAAATTGCGGATGAAAAGTTCCCTGCTGGAAATTGTAGAATGGTGAACCAACCACGACGACGACGACGACGACGACGACGAGACCAAGAAGAAAATACACGTCGACCTAGGTTTTCCTTTTTTTATTTTTTTCCCCTCCAACCTCCAACGATGAGGGGCGGGGGGGGGGTGAGAAGATTGGAAGAGCTGAATGTTTCCAGGCGAAATGAGGTTTTAATTAGCGCGACCCGGTATCACGATGTTGCTCGAGGTAATCCGAAGATCCAGCAGGGAGAGAAAAGAATATCATCACCCGCTCTGGGATTTAAATTTCCTCGCGATTTTGTCCCGTGTAATTTAACCGGGCGCAATTGTTTCGCGCGAAACGAACGTTAAGCGAGATAGGATAATCCTGACATTAATTCTCCGCGGAGACGTCTTCTCTCGGCCGCGCGAACGAGCGAGAGGGAGAGAGAGAAAGTTATCTCGTACACAAAGAGAACTTATTTCGGGATAAATGGAATAAAAAGAGATGGATTAATTCTAGTTATTTTGTCGTACACGTGAACGTTGGCGTGAAATCGATGAAACTTCCATTCATAACCATTGGCACACGTTTAACACGAAATATTTAATATCTACGAAACGTTAATGTAATTTCCGAAAGAGGAAATTAATTGATTGATCGGTACGAATGTTATATATTTGTAAATGGACAGTTGATTATTTATGAGAATTGATATTATAATAAATTATAGTGGTACAGAAGACGATTTTTTAAAGCGTGAAACGTACAAGTCTGGCTGACGTAGAGAAATAAAAAGAATATTTTCTTCTTAGATTAAATAAACCTATCTGCATAAGAATTTCGATTGGAGATTTATGAAAACTCCAGTAAAGGAACGTTGTCTGTTTAGATCATGATACGATCGAAGTGTGGTTAATTGAATTGCTAATCGAGTCGATAAAGTGTTTTCGAACTTTGTCATTCTGCGACAGCATAATTGCATAATTTCTTACGTCGTTGCGCCAGGAAATCGTGTCTCTTTGGTTTGGTAATAATTATTGTGTTGACGAGGAGCAAGGTCTGCACAGAAATAACAATACTTCAAGTAGAGAAATCATGCTTCTGTTTCCATGGTCAGACACGCAGTCATAAAAAGTAAATTGGAATTAAATATTGAGCATCTTGAACGATAATGAAATGATCTTTGATCGAGGAACTCTTGAAGTTACGTTCGTGTCGTCGTTTTATAAAATTATGTAACAGTCGTCCGCAGAAAAGAAACAAAAAGAAAGAACACAGTAATTACCTCAGTAATAAAATTGAAAACAATTCAGAAAAATGATCGAGTTCTTCAAAGACCACGTCGATTCCCCGCGAATAGAATCACAAAGCAACAAACGTTAATCACGTCGGAGGATCCGCGTTTCGCGGCGAATTATTTAGCAATTCGTAGCAGTCTAACAGGCCGGTGTGATTTCCATCGATTTTAATTAAAATTTCGTCCGGAGTAACGAGCTTCGCCGGCAGTGTTGTAGCGAAGTTTTATGCAGAAGTTGAACGTTTTGCGAACTGACGGGACGGAATTTCGAACGACTGTGCGAGCCGAGGAGAGAATTCGAGTGGTGTTCTCTCGTTAAATAGAGAGAGAGAAAGAGTGTACAGGATTCGGGAATCAGACAGGACGATTATTAAACGCACGAAATTACTGTTAATACAGTCGACGCGAATGCATCGACTTTAATTGGTGTGCGCCGAGTGCCATTAACGTTTTAATTAGCGGCAAAGCAAGCCCCCCCCGATACACGTCGACCGACATTTCCTTTCGGCGTTGTCGATCGATCCAGTCGCATTACCCGCTAAACGTTAATATTCTATTTATAGGACCAAACCTTATTCGTAACCTTAACATGCGACTGTTATCGAGCCAACCAGCTGGAGGACTTCTTTTTTTCCTTTTTTTCTGTTTTCTCTCTCCAATTAGAAGCTATTGAAGAACTTGATTAACACCTCGATCGATCGGAGTTTTATCAATAAAATCACACGTATTTACGTAGCGGAAATTGAGATTTTTGTAAATGGAAGTGAATTCGTTGGATGATGGAACGATCATGTTGAATCAAGGACAATATCGTGATAATATTTTATTCTTGTTTCCTTGTTTCATTAAATTCACTCGTGGAGAAGAATACAGCAGAGAAATTGAACTCTTGGATATCACGGTGTTGAAGGACAGAATTTGATGATATTAGAATTAATATTTGATTGAAAATAAATTGCTAATGATCAGCCGAAAATTAAGAAGATTTGCGATAAAAATATGTTCTGTACGAGTTGAAATTTTGACAGAGGAAAATGAAAATTACTGGAGACGCAAATTTAACATTAAAAGATCGAAATTATTGAAAGGGAGCTGTGTATCAGCTTGATAATAATGTGTTTAATTTTCAAATGAGAAAATTAATTAGTCGTTGATAAACTGCAATGAATCACGTGGTAATAACTTTAAAAATACTTCGTGCAGATAAAACTACGTGCATATATTTGAAAAGACATTTCGTATGCAATAATCTAATAAACTTATAAATCATACAACTATTAAATCAATTCACTCGTATAAAAGTATTTGGAAAGCATGAACAACAAAGTGTTGCAATCTCTCAGAAACATAAATTATATTTAAATATGTAGTAAAATATTAAAAATTAAATATTCTAATAAATAATGACATTATCAGAATTAATTTAAATGCATCGTCCGATATTTCATACATTTTCTCATACAAGATGATACATGTGTACGTTCTTACATCTTTGAATTTTATATTCGCGCCGCATAGATGCATGGAAATCCGTAGCTCACGATCAATTTCTAGCGAGAAGAGACGATCCATCGATCTCCAACAAATTTCCCCGTACGCGAAAATAGAGAAGCTCGAGTTGGTGTTTTAAAGTGCACCTTATTTGGCGAAATACTTCCTGTCGTCGTCTAAAGGCTCCGTTCTTTCTCTTTCTCTCTCTCTGTTTGCACACCGCTGCATTATTCGCATGTTCGTCGAGTGCTCATGAATAATGACTCGAGCGAAACGGTAGAGGGAACAAATTATTTCTTGTGTCGTCAGGGAGCAGCAACGTGAGCATTGACAAATTACTTTCAGGCGAACGTGTTTCGAGATAGAAAACTAAACTATCGTTTTACCACGCGTCCGTACGATAGGTTAACTTTTTAACAACACTCTCGCTGAGTTGCTTAACTCAATAACCATCAAGTAGCAATAATCTAGACCGAATACATTTTCCAAAAATGGATGGTACGCGTCTTGCGCTGAATGCTCTGAATATATTATACATTTTTGTATTTTTACGTTCTCTAGATCAATAATGCGTCACCATAAATCCATGAAAATCCTCCGCAGTCTATTTATAATCAAACAAATTCCTGGAATTTCGTAATTCTTGCAACTCGTAACAATTCAACAATAAAGAACGTTGCTTTTACACAATGTTGGCTGTTAATGGGTTAATTCCAACTCGATCCTAGATTTTCCTTCGATTCGGCTTCGTCTTTCGACACTCTTCGATTGTTACTCGTGCGAGAATCGTTTGGTTACTTTTCAATGGAAACGATTGTAAACGTTCCGCAGGATGTTCCACGAGAGACAAGAACGTTACATTGTGATTCACTACGAAAGGAAGGGCTTTGTGGAAAAAGACGAAAGTTACTCGCTGTCGTGTAGAAACGTTTTTTTTTTTTTTTTTCCCCTCTGAAAACGCCCAGCGTTTTTAGCAGCGGATTTTCACGAAGGAAAAGGAAAGCTGTTTACTGCAACGTTAGAAGTTTTTTTAATTGATCCGGAGCTCTCTCGCGTGGCAAGCTTCGCTGCAAGGAAGTCGCCGCCGCGAGGTTGAACTTTTTAATTAGTCGCAAGCTTTAAATAACGTCGCTTCTCAAACACGCTTGCTTTCTTTTCTTTTCTTTTTTTTTTTTTTTTTTTTTTTTTTTTTTCAACGACCGGAACAAGTTGAAAGAAATTAACGGTACACCATTTTTGCAAAGCAAAAGAGGGACGCGTGTCTTTTGAAATGTACGTGTTTTTGTGATTTTCTAATTTTTTATGTCATTTTTTTGATTAATGCAATATTTTTCTACAAACGTGTAGACTCATTCAGAGTTTAACAAGCGACGATGAAGTCAAAATTACTTGTAATGCTTTGATATATGAAATTTAGATGAGAAAATACAGACATGAAAGATGAACCTAAAAAGTTATCAACAATGATCGACTAAAGATCTCAGTCAACATGTGGAATCTAATTAAAGTCAAACGTTAATTAACACCGTTTTGAACAAAGCATTGTTGGAACTTTTCTACAAAACACTGTAATAACATTACGATGAACAACGTTCTGAAAATTTTAAAGATAAGTGTAAGAGGACAGGGAAAATATGAAACATAATATACGTACTATATTTTCATTTTAATCTTCAATATAACAATAGTCGTATTTCACGTATTTAAATTCATATTTATACAATTGAAATTCATTTCACTTATTAAATATGACAACAAGTGACACGCGATAAATATTTTACATGTTTTTGCGTCTTGCGAACATTCTTACGTATTCAATTACGTGTCCCATAAGTATCCACTCATTGTAACGTTAATAAAACTTCAAATTGTCTCGTATAACACACGTAATAAGTTTGCGAAAGAAAGAAATTGGAATTAAATACGTTTGCGAGCCATTGTATATCCAGCAATCTGGCTAAGAGAAAATTTGTTCCATCTTCGATAAAGTAGAAGCCGAGAACATTGAGAGCAAATTCTATTCCCTTGGGTAAAAGGACGGGCGAGAAAGAGTCCAATAAAATGCGCATATAAGGGAAGCTATAGAAAACGGGAACGAGTGTCTGAACATAAAACGAATGCAAATTTACATACGTACGGTGAAGAAGAGACACGAGAGAACATAACCGATAATGGCACTGGATTCATGATCCCGCGCGTACATAGGAAATTTCATGCGACGCTGTGCAACGCGATATTAAATCAAATTTCGAGTAACGCGATTAACTCATAGCACGATAGCAACTCATAGACAAATACGCTGCAATTTGTCGCGAAAATGCGGATTTTTATGAATTTCAGAGGTGTGTGTAAATGCACGATAATATCTGAGGCGGATTCTGTTCTTGAAATTTGATTTATTAACGACATTGTTAACAAATTTATTTGCACGATGGCAATAAATGAAGAATTTATGGAAAATTTCAGTGGACAGAAACGCACACGAAATGGACAGAATTATCGGTTGAAACAAAATGTTAACAGAGAGAAAATGCAGTAAATTTAGCACTAGTAAAATATTCTATCCAATTTCTATTCTATTCCAATTAGTTCCAATAATCGAAGTTCTATTAAATTATTATACCTATCTAACCGTATTGTTTTCTAAAATATCTTTTAAAATAAAATATACTCCGTTTTTTACGACGGTGTAAAAAGATTGCTCTTTGTTATTCTTTGGGACGACTTTTATAAATCGTACAAATTTCGAATCCGGCGAGAACGTGAAAGAATCGTTTGTTGAAATTCAGTGAAGAGCAAGATTGAGATGTAAAAGATTCAAGAGTCACGTCAGAATTAAATTTCAATTATTCAAGGAGTTCTCATCCTTCGTGCTGTCCGCTCGGAGAAAAAAAAAAAAAAAAAAAAAAACAATCGAAGAAACGTCGACAAAATTTCGTACAGGCCACAAATCGCCGTACAGAGACACGAGTAAAAAGAAGATGCTTCGAATTTTCGTGTAAAATGCAAATAAGCATTCTCCGTGTTTGCACAGCGCGGCATTAAACTCCGGATAAAGTAGAAGCACCGGTGCAAATGAAATTCTGAAGTGTACAGACCGAGCTGGAACGCGTTTCCTTTCCGGGACCCCATAAACGGGACACTACACGGTGCACAAGGTGTTTCTAAATCGTCGCGTTACGTCTACACACATTCTCGCGATCTTTGATCATTTCACCTCTTATTTTACATCCAGCGTCTCTTCTCGATCATAACACGTAGCTTAAATAAAAAGATATTGCCTCTGCTCGATCTTTTCACTTCGATGAAAGAAAAAACATTTAGTGGCCCGTATACGGATCATGAGATAAAAATCGATCAAATGTCAAATCGAATCTTCGTGATAATTAAAATAGCCAAGAAAATGTAACCACTGTGGTCTGTGTTTGTGGTATAATTGAAGGATTTCATATGACGGATATTACGTTGGAAATTGAGCTCGCAAATTCTTCTTTAGAAATACAGTCAAAATGAAAAGAAAATTAGGAATAACGGAATTACGTTGATCTTTAAGTGAACTAACAAAGTATTCAAAGTAAATAATTGGCGGAAAATTACTCTCGATACGAGAATATAGAATAAAGATTTTTCAATTAAAGTTTGGTTCAATCTGGAGTTAATTTGACACGTGCATATTCGACAATGTTTCAAGTTCGATTTCCTCCAAAACGAGATCCTAAAAGAAGGATCGTCATTTCATATTATTTTCGGCTTGTTTTCGCACATTTTTTTCAGAATCATCTTCTGTCATCAACTTTCGACTCCTTTCTAGTCGAGATTAGAGGAATTCACGTATACTTAACTCGACTTTTTTTTGAACGTGAAATTCGTTCGATTGAAATTCGTTCTTCTCTTTATTTTGACTTGTCGAGTCTCTCCGATTCCAATGGTACCACGAATTCAGGACCACAGTGCGTGTATACACGAGGTAATACAGAAACGAAACAAGACCGATTTATCAGCTATTACATACCTCGGACAAGGAGTCCTCCATCATATTGCTGGTATCTCTCATGACTCCCAATGGAAACTAGCACCGACAACAATCACTCAACGCCCACGTTTTATCCGTTTCCTCCTCCGGGCCGGTATCTTTCACTGCTTCTGTCTGGTACGTTCTTCGTTTCTCCTTCTTCTACTTCGAACGTATATATATAATATATATATAGTCCCAAGTGTTCTTTGCTACTCACCAGTGTCACCAGACGAACGAAAATGAAAACTCGCAGTTTTCAATTGAATGAATTTAATGAAGGAAAGAAGGAGAAGGAAAGAAGAAATGCGAGTCGAAACGGTCACACAGAGCGTGCTCCGTGAGCGAGACTCCTGAGGGAAGCGAGCCGCTCTTGTGTCACGAGCACATTGTGTCCCGATCGTGTTTTCGGAGCGTGTTCGTTTAAAACGCACGTATAACTTGGTCGTTGGATCGATCGTATCGCAACGTGTCACTTTCCTCCCTCTTTCTCTCTCCCTGTCTGTCTGTCTTTCTCCGACCGCCTCTCTCCCTCTCTGTATTGCCCTCTATATGCTCCTCCGTGTTCACCCACTCTCCGTGATTCTTCTCCCCGCGACCAGAGACACACGGCATACGCAGCTTCCGTTTTTCAATTCGACTCGACTCGACTCGACTCGACTCGACTCGACTCGACGCGAAGCGAAGTCTCTCTCCCGATGAAAAAGACGAACTGTGGTCGTCCGTTCTTTCGTGAAAAAGAAAAAAAAAAGAGAGAGAGAGAGAAAGAGGGAGAGAGGGAGAGAGAGAGAAGAAAAAAAACCAAGAAAAAGAGAGCACGACGATCCGAGAGCGTGGCGAGCGTGACGAGCTCACGAGAGGATCGCGAGTCGATCCATCGGTGAACGCGGCTTTCGATACACTGGCGAGAGCGCGCTGTCAGGTAACGCAAGGGAGCAGGTCGACGGACAGCCAGCAGGCAGACCTGCCTCCATGACACTGCTCCCGTCTTCCTCTACCCTCGCACCATCTCTCCCTTGCACCGACTGCTGCTTGCAGCTGCCTTTCCTCCCCTCCGACCGACCCTCCCCTCCTTCTCTCTCTCTCTTTCTCTCTCCTCCCTCTCTTTCTCTCTCTCTCTCTCTTCCTTTAACAAAACCCTCTTCTCTCTCTTTCTCTCTAACAAAACCCTCTCCTCTACGGTTTTCATCTCACTTGCACTTGCACACAGTGGTTCCTCAAATGTTCACCCTCTGCGTTCCCCTTTCACTCGACACATACTCTCTCGCAACGAAAAGATTCTTTCTCCCTCTCTCGGAGTCTATCCTTCTCCGCAGTGAAATATTCCCCTCTACTTACACAGTTCTCCAGCAGCATGCATTTTCCTACCCGCTCGCCCCGATACTGGTTCTGTTTCTCTCTCTCTCTCTGTCTCTTTTTCTCTTTCTCTCGTTGGTTTGATACGGCAATATGTAGATAGATATTGGAGTCTTCGTCTTTCTTTCGGATACTCTCGCGATATTCCTCCTCCTCCTCCTCCTCCTTCTTCTTCTTCTTCTTCCATGGAGTCGAGGCTGACGAGCAAACTCTAGAGCTCATGAATCGCTACACCGCGGATCGGCGTCAGTCTCACGATCCGACCGCGGATTTCAAACTGACAACGTGTTTTGATTGGAGTCTGGATCGGTTGGTGGGAACGGTGGACGTGGTGGATGATGGTTGGTTGAGAGTAAATAACCCAGAGGGTTGTTAGAGAGAGAGAGAGAGAGAAATTTTGGGGAAGATCTCTGTGGTTTAACGTTTAATTTGTAACGCGTTATTGATGTATTGCTGATTTATACGTCGGGCAAATCCAGAAATCGGGAAATAGGGATAGACAGTGGTGTTGCAAATATTGCTTTCTTTCATTTGTCATCTATTTATTTAATTTATCAACTACTGTTCGAACTGTTCAAAAGTGTGGCTGTTCGATTATAAATTCGAAGTAGAAAATAAAAAAATAAATTTAGACGTGGAAAATAACAAAGTTGCAGGCCATTTCTCTAAAATTTTTTTATTTATTTGCATCGAGTGATTCATATTTCACTTTTGGAATGTGTTCAAATGAAATAAAATTTGTGCTTCAATAAATTCGCCTTAATAATTAAATGGCAAATATTACACAGACTGTATTATTGTAGTTTATAGTTGTTATATCTATAAATCACTGTAGTACTGTAAACTACAAATTTAGAAATCCAACAATCATTCTCCGATCCCGTATTTGAAATAAACCTCGTGTATTAATGATAATTACAGATATCGAATTTGGAAAGCGAACCTTGAAAGCCTCGAAGTTTCGGCTTGGTAAAAGGCTCTAGTGAATGTCCGCCTTGCTTGCTTGCTCGCTTGAGTTACGTTTCTTATTGAAATATGAATTGACAAGCCCGAGAAAGACTGGATTCGCGAAGAAACTGTGTCACACGAGAAGAGAGGAGAACGTGGTGCGCGAATTTCGAGCGAAAAAAGGAGAGTTCTCGCGGCACTACAAAAGCTGTTCACGCGTCCCGTGGCGGAGGGCAATGCAGACGAACAGCTGCTATTTCACCTGTTCGATATATTATTTAAATGCTTCACCTGCCGCGATGTTCAGATACCGCGAGATAAGGCAAGCGAACGTTTCCTGCTTTCACGACGATATCGCGAGCTCTTGGATTCGTCGTCGATTCTTTTTTAAAGAAAAAAAGCGAATATTTCTTGAGCGAAATGCCGAGGAAACTGATCGATCTGTCGTAACTCGATTTTCTTTCTCTTTGGGGGATGCGTAGATTGAACAGCAAGTTAACGAGCGATTTTAATTGTTTTGAATTTACAAGCTGAAATGAAACAGAGGCGCCCCTCCAGCTTCGAGTTCAGCTCGTTGAGAAGAGCTTTGAAGTTTCTTTTTGCATTGTTGTGTGCTTTAATCGTATAATATCTACAATAATACTTTGTAGAAGTAGAAATTTATCTGTTGGAAAAAGAATTCATGAAATTATTGACATGGATAGTCGATGTTGATAGCGGTTCTCCAAGTGATTTTATGCCTTTACGAATATGAACCAAACAGTGATTTAAATTTAAATTCGTGGACAAAATCCGATGGCACTTTGTACTATTCCGTTATTAATCCTCGCGTTTCTTTTCGTATTATAAAAGAATGAATATAATGTTATTTCCTTTCATTTTTATATTATTCAATTCTTGCGTTAATTATCCGAGTACATTATCAAAGAGATAAACGAGATCACGCCGCGCTTGTCACAAATTTACATTTATCGCACGATTTCACTTTGATTCAAATACAATACTGCTTAATATCATTTTACGGCAGATGATTCTACAAAGTCTTTCAATTTAAAAGTTTTCCTTGCGTGTCCTTTTTTTCCAAAGAGGAGTATTCATTCGAGCCAACTAGGAATTAGTTTCATCTATAAAGATCACTCGACGATCTTGTCCAGTTAATATAGGGCTGATCTTCTTCATGTATTTAGACAGTACCACCCAATCTACGAATCCGATTTCGTGATTTCTGCCACAGGTTACGAATGGGTCGAATCCATCTCCAGCTTGAACTAAGAAGCTCGGAACCACGAGTCTGTACCATTGGTCTAATACTAGATCTTCGTACATTGGCACCTCGCAAGCTCGACACCTAAACAAGTACAAATTATGCTGATCTGTCGATGTTACTACTAAAAACTAAAAATTAAAATACGTATTTACCTTATTTTAACATCTACTGCCTTTCTGGTATCCCCTTCGATTTTAAAAACCACTTTTATGCCTGACCATGTGAGAATGTCTTTCATTTCTAGGATCTGAAATGATTAAATAATACGTATAATAATATCGTGTAATTAAATATTGTCTTTAAGAATGATAGATGAAAAGACGAGATACAATGAGAGCCTAATGTATGGCTATACCTGTTACACGCCAGTAAAAAAAGACACTCTTTGATAGGAGCTGAAATTTATTAAAAAAAATCTATAAGAATTGACATAGCAGAGAACTGTTACACTATTTATAAAATCTACTACCTGACCTGTGAATAATGATTTTTAGTAAAAAATGTTACAGATAAATATTAAATAGTTTCGAAATGTATGCCCTGTCATGTATTAAATTCCGTCGACTCTCTATAACTAGAATTTCGTTTATCTAGAAGAGACTTACGAGTTTTAAAAATAAATAATTAAAATATAGAATATCAGTTAATAAATGAGTAAAAATAATTATCTATCTTTTTAAGTTAAAACGAATGATTGTTATGAACAAATTATTTGGTATTCATGTTGCATGATGTATTAATATAATTTTATTGTATCGTTGATACAATAATAGTCTATTAATAATTTTCTATGTCAAGTTATAGAGGGTTAAATTAAATGGAGTAAATTTCGTACAATGTTATACCTGTATGATGCAGCTGCCATTTAATTCGAGGATGTCCCACGTGTTCTCGAAGGGTTGAGCCATGATCAAGTCGGCAAAAGTGATATCTTGAGTTGTGGAATCTATAGGAGCTCGTATTCCTCCAGGATTAGTAACACTAACTGCAGCGTATGTCCAAACAGTCTTGTTCTCCGCTTTGTCTACGTACTATAATCATTTAGCAACGCACTTTGTTAAAAAAAAAAATAATAATAGATACAATTCTAATTTGTCTTGAAGTAATTCTACTAGAAAATTAATAGACATCATTCTAATTCGATTCAGAAAAATTGTTCAATCATTAATTTAATTTATTTCGACGCACTTCGTTAAAACATCGATAGACATCATTCTAATTTGCCTTGAAATAATATTTTAATCGTTAATTTTAGTAGACAAACGAAATATATTTGTTACGTACAGCGTCAACCATAGCGTCTGTAATCAAATTTCCAAGGTTGCACTCGTTTCTGCGACATTTGTTGTTGAGGAAAACTCTGCTTCGAGCAATCTTTGTTTTTGCCTTCTCGTCGACGCTCACTTTCCAAGGTGCCAAAGCCTTCAGCATCTCAGGATCTGGAGAAAATGTTGATATTTGAGTCGTTTATCTAATCTAATTTATATTTCTTAAAGAATACACAGTGATTGAACATTGTAAAAGTCCATCGTTTGGAAGATAGATTCATTTGGAAGAAAGATTCATTGTAATCATTGTATGGGAGATAAACATTCTGTAGCTTAAGCCTTATTGTAAATCTTAGATTCCAAATTGAATTAAGGAATATCTATCTCCTTTTTTGCGAGTCTATGGGGCGAGTAAAGTCAGAATTTAATATCTTGACTCTAACATAATAGAGGATAGACAAGATTAGAGCTCAAGGTGAATCTCGCACGTAGACAGCTCCTTATGGCGAGACCTAGTAATTACATCATCTCTCAGTATCATTTCTCAAGGATTTATTTCTTTACTATTCTATACCTATATTTGTTATCCTAAATATAATTTTTCTAAAAATTAAGATTTGTGAAAATGATGCCAAGCCAAATATTACTATTACACCAACGTATTAGGCCCCATTTTCTCGCAATTATATTCGTAAAAATAAAGATATAAGGCGCACAGTACATGAATAAAATCTCATTTATAATAAATGTACGAATACTTTCACGAGTCGCGCTATAGTATAATAAGAGCAACGTTTTATTCCTACCTTGTTCGATAGAGTAATCAAGCAGAATCGGATTTCCGTCCCAATCAACCACCTCACCATTCGCGTCGAACCACACTGTTAGATTCCCCAAGTATCTAACGCAAACAAAGAGAACCACTTCTTCATCTTTTTAAATAAAAGCAGACGAAAAAACAAACAGCTTTTTATCGAGAATAAATTACTAACCTCGTGAAAGCAGCTGCTTGAACGATCAACACCGTTCTGTTGGTGTCCTCTTGAATCACTATCACTGGATATTCGTCTTCCGGCTGGTCGATAAAGGGGGGTGGTCCTAAATAATGAGAATTTTATTATTACTGAATGCTTGAGAATTAATTAATAGGACCTTAATTTTTTTTTTAATTAGTTGTTGATGTTCTTCAGTGATTAATATTCTTTTTTCTCGATTTAATATCAAAGTATTTCTTTAACAAGAACATTTTATCTGCCACCTTCTGATATATTATTAATCATTTGCGAAATGGTTAAAATATTTACTACAAATTAATAAAAGATTGATAGAAATAATATTTTTCAGAGATAAAAATAATAGTAAAATTTATTAATAGAAGAAGTTTTTAATTATACACATTTCAAGGGAGAAGAAAATTCATTGTCGCAAATAGAATGCATTTATTGTATTTAATATTTTATTTCGAATATGTTATATATCTTTTTATAATGCACAGTTTTTGCATCTTCCATTTTCTCATAAATACATAAAAATTCATAGTTCATGAAATCTCTTTTAGATTCTTCTTCTTGATTGTTTCATATAAAATTCAAGGTTGATTTATGTTTTCTTTTGTTTCGTACATCTTTTGTTTGAAATATTGTTGGAAGATTTTCAGTAGATAATAATTCTTTTCTTAATAGTGAGTCATCTTTTTTTATGAGTTTATATTCAGTACGTATAACTAAAGCTATACGTACACAATGTGGTTGCCAAACTTCCAGAAGAGGAACTATTTTTAAGTTCTTCGCAATAACATGATTCTTCTATATGAGCATTTGAAATAGTAGAATAATACAAAATTAAACGTAATAAAATTAAATATATATATATATATCTACAAGATAGAATAATACACAAATATGATTGAAATTCCAAATAGAGGATGACATTGTGTGTCGTAAAAGATAGTGAAAAGCAAATGTTTCAATTTTATTTTCAAAAAGAAATGAAGAACGAAGGGAAAAACTGGAGGAATTTCGTAAATTTGTCATATTTTTGAAACTAGTAGTGTTAGAAATACTATCATGATGAAAATATAATGGTATGATACTATAAACAAACTTATCCGAATGAAAAACAAGAGTATATTGACGTTGGAACGAAGGAAGGCACACAGAAATTTCATACATTAGAGCTTGATAAGTATACCTGAGTAAAGAAACGTATGGGAGTGTCCACCGACGATGACATCGATCAAAGGACACTTGGCAGCCATTATTCTATCCACCTTCAGTCCACAGTGGCTTAAAACGATAATAATGTCAATACCCTGAGACTTCAATCTCCTGGCCTCGTCGTTCACCGATTCCACCTCGTCCAGAAATTTTAATTTCCCGGTTCTGGAAATTGTCTGGTAATTTGTAAGTTTCAATTAAGGATCCAGAGTAACGTTGAATCGCTCTTCCGGTTTAAAACCTTCGTCAAACGTAATCGTCTCTCTCGTCCTCTTGCTATCGTGCAATTATCTCATGGTGCTTTTACGTGGAATTCGTTCAACCGTATCGATAATTAAGATATAATTTACGCAACAATTTTTACGACGACATTCTTAAGAATTAATTAAGAGAGGAATTTTAGGTTGATTATCGAGTGTGAAACAGACTTGGATTGTTTAGATTATTTGTGTATTCAAGTGAAATACGCTAAATGATTCGAATGATTATTTGTTCTTTATTGCGAAATTATTAGCTATTTCAAATCATTTTATTATCCAATTATCAAATTTTCTATTTTATTTAATATTTTGAAATGAAAAAAATGATAAAATACTTGAAACAATTTGTAATTATTGTTTCCAAATTATTGTTTTTTATCTTAATTCCAAATACGAAATTGATGCAAAATATTTTTAGTTAATTAATTGATTTTTTTTTTTTTTTTTGTAAATCTAAAATTCGTTCGATTACGTTAACGAAAGTTTAAAACAAAAGTTTATTCTTACAATAAACAAAGACTCATAAATATTGTGCATGAAATTAAAACTCGATACAAACATTTGCCGTCGAAATAAGAACACCAATAACTCCGATTTTTGTTCCATTCCTTTCGATTATCGTGCTATTCTCGTAGAGGCCCTGAAGAAACCACCAATATTTATATGATTGATTAGAATTTTCTTAGAAAATTTCAATTGTAGTTAGAGTGCGGATTTTTATGCGGTTTTTATATCTTTACGAATATGATAGAAATCAAAAAGATTTATTTTTTAATTAAATAAAACTGAAGATTGTTTCATTTACTAAATATTATAATAAATACTTAAAAATGATTGTGTATTATATGCATTTTGTATATTGTTTCATATATGCATAAAATCTATAATTTAATTATAATTAAAAAAATTAATATACTCACTTGTATCATTGGCTCTTCATTTGCATCAATATTGGTAACTACCACTGGTGCTTTGACCATTTTTAAAAAGGGAACCACACCAGCGACTTCATCGTCAAACTCGTGGTTCCCTATTGTCTGAAAAATTAATCGTCATATAATTTTCCCTTTCAATAGCTACGAATAAGAATCTTATCATTTTGATTTAGTGACTTTTATTACATTCTACTTATCAAATTATTTTATTTGATTCGTAGGATTTAAAATCACAAAAATATAAATCAAAGTTTCTCTTACTAAATGCAAACATACGAGTTATCAATTTTCACGCAAGAATGATTGTCTTTACACAGTTATTATTTAATTATTATCTTCATTCAAGTTGTCGTTATTCTACAGTTATCGTAATCGATCGTCCATGACTTTACACGATCGTCACGATTTTATTAATTCGATCACGTGAATCCTCGTTGCTCTTTATCGAGATCAATCTAATTAACAGAGTGTTATGCAATCACAAGCGTGAAACCGTGTTTCGCGTGCCTTTATCGATCAAATTTGACGCGATAAATTCAGTTTCATCGCTTTCAACGTGAAATTTCATTTGATCACGTGAACGAACTGCGTTCGAACGATCGATTGTAAATTTTTTGACACAATTAAACCAGCTGACTGATCACCAATAAAAAAAGAGTCTTTTTTTCATATCTCTCTCTTTCTTTCTCTCTTTTTTCGCCGGATTATACCATAAAATGATTTTACCATGACATCGTGCGGTAACATGTTCATAAATGTAGCAGTCACGTTCCAACGATGAACGTTGTACCAAAGAGTCCCTTGGTAATGGTCACCGGCATTCAAGAAAATTGGATTCGGTCTTTCATTCATTAAACGATTCACTGCGGTGGAAACTCTTGAGATTCCGCCGATGCAATCCTTCTCCTCACCTTCGTGACACGCTTCGGATCGGGGCCCTGTTTGCTCGAACCTAATATTTTTATCCGTCAGTGTATATTTCTCTGAGTTAAGCGAAAGATGGATTTTTTTTTAAATTCCATTGTGACGTATTTATACATCACAAATCCCATTGTGACGTATTTATGCAACATTTTATTTTGCAATTATTATTCCAATACGAAAGACTTTGATTGAAAATTAAAATGAAAAATTATGTGGATAAAAATTTACTCTAAACTTTTTCTAATTATTTAAAATACCATTTACGTCTAATAAGTAGAATCCTCCTTCGATACTACAATCACCGAGATAGCGTTGGTACATATTATTACAAGTTTTATAGAGTGCGAATATTCATATTTTAATAACAAAATAAATTCATAGTTTTGTGAATAAAATTTCAAAAGTGGAACGTAATATATCCGTTTTGCATATCTTTGCATATTATGTGATTTTTTTTTTTTTTTTGCATCTTCGTAAAAATCCACAATACAAAATGCTATTTGCTAAAATCTCAGTGTCAGTATAAAATTGAAAAAGCTATTAACAATTAAGCAGAAAAACCTGTTGCTATCTTCTTCTAATACTGCTCTCTTAAATTATTCTAATACTGCTCTCTTAAAATCCATTTATAGACTGTAAACTTGCAAAATCCACAGACTCTTTCATATATTTGCAACATACATTCTAATGAAACTTTTAAGACAACATATGTACGTATGTACATATACTATAAAATGAAAATGTTCTTAGAGTCGTCTCGATATTGAGCAATACAAAGCTGATGGATAGAAAGAATAACACGGTAAAAAAAGAGTCGTCACGATTAACCGGAATCATCGCGTCGCTGACCCTGAGATTTCACTTGAAAAGACCTTCGGGAATCGAACAGTACATAGACACTTTACTTTCAGTGAATCGTTTCGATTGTTCGAACGATTGCGATTAATATTATTTTAAAAATTTTTAAAAACGATTGACGTTTTTAAAATTATGTAGCGTATATTATGTTCGCAGTCAGCCTAAAAACGTCAAATAATTTATTACTAAACCTATATATATATATATATATATATATAGGTTTAGTAATAAATATATATATATATTGTAGTCGCAAAGGAGAATGTATTATTATCTTATTGGTAATTTGCAAAATTCAAAAAGTTTGAGAGAAAATATTACTCAGTAACTTAATTGGTGTACACAGTTCAAATTTCTAGCGCATAATCTGAAAGATAATCGCCTTTCTTGTCGCAACATTTTCTCCGTAGTATATAAAATATTACTTAATAGCTGAATTAGTTTACTGTACTTGATTCAAAGATTCTGGCCGCATAATTTGAAAAACAATCGCCTTCCTTGTCGCAATATTTCCTCCGTAGCATAATAATACAAACAATTATCACGGGTGACGAGTTTAGCACGCATACAACAATGATATTAGCATCGATTAACGCAAAACATTTTCAATGACCCAGTTTTTTTCGATTCTCGGTTCGTAATGCCATTCACGTTATCGTTAAGTTACTGTTCTGTGAATACGTACGTTATTGGACACTTTGATACAGAACCGCACACTAATCTACACGACTACATGAATTTTACAATATTGTACAAATTAACGAGTTGAATTAATAATTAGAATTAGATTAGAATCATCAGACTATAAATTTAAATTATCATTCAATAATATACCTTACATTAAAATCGAAGTTAAAACTAAAAATCGAATTTAAAAAAGGAAAATTGCCAGAATAAAATATACATACGTACGTACGTACATATGTACGCCGAATTAAATCGAACGTTATCTCATTGAAAAGCGAAATCTTTATAATTAATCAGTATCGAATGAATATTTTTCTTCAAGTAGTTGATTATAACGGACACGTGATAATTTTGCAATGAAAAATACGTATTCAAGAAGCAGTATAAGAGCGCGACTTACCTCGCGTGGAAATCATTTATGTGTATCACCGATAATTCGAATAGATCCGATCGTCCTGGATAATGCAATCCCCTTCCGGTGAATCCGCGGCACAACTGAAGTAGAAACGGCAATAAAAAAAATCGGAGCATCGCGGATTGGATTCGTGCATCGGGGACGTCACGACTTTCGTTCGAGTATTACGTTCCTGGGATTTTCGTCGCCGCATCCAAGCGCCAGTCCTCCCTCGAGTTTCTCTACGGAAACGAAGTAACGTATCTCCTGTATTTATTGATAAGAACTACTGTGCAGTTTTGTACCAGGGCTTCTCAAACTTTCCCACTTGGCGACCCCCTTCACTCGATCAAATATTTTCGCGACTCTGAGTGATGGAGGTGTATATATAAACATAGTAATGCGAATTAAAATATTTGCCGATTTACTAATCATAAGGAAAATTTATTCGAAAACAGTTCTTCGGTGCCAAATATTGCTTTTGAATTAATTTTCTATAATTGATCGCAGGGATTTTTTAGTTTTGCTAAAATTTCTGAAATTTATTTGCGCGATCGCCACACTTTGAGAAGCCCTGGTTCAGACGATATTGCTGCGACAAGGGCTCTCGCTATCAGACTATTCTCCGAGTCTTCGTGTTTGCGTATTGAAACATGAATCGAGTCTCGTTCAACGAAATTTTTTTAAGGGGAAGGAGAGTATAAAAGGAACGTAAGGCAATCGGTTTGCTTGTGACGGTACACGGATCGTCGATCGATGCGCGTCTCGCGAACGAGAGAGATTAAAAGGTATTCGAGAGGAATTTTCATCTGTCTTCCAGAATCCTGATGGAAATCGCATTAACTATCGCATTAATTCAACACGCGCGCCTATAAGTCGTTTGGAGGACAAATTGATCGGTTTTATAAATTGATTAAGTCGTTTTGTGATTTAATTACGTGTAATTACGTTTCCGCGATATAATTGCAGGTACACGCTCATAGAAATTATATAATGTAATGACTGTTTCATGTAAAAAGACTGAAGTGTGTTGAATAAAAATGATAATTATACGAAGGACGTTTATAAAGAGTTTATAAATAGAATTTAGTTTTAAAAACAGTTTTAAAAAGACAGATATAAAGAACATTGAATTGAAAGTATTTATAATTGAAAATACTTATCGAAAGAAAAGAAAGTTTAAAAAATTAATAAATCGTTACTATCTAAAGCGAATGTTATTTTTTCAAATTTATCCTGGTACTTGTTGTTATTGGTATATAGACTCTTGTCGAAATAAATGATCTTCTTTGTAATGTATTTCTATATACAGTACTAATTAATTCTACCTGTATAATGAAATCGAAAAAATGAAAAACGCACAGAAAGTGGAAACGATCAATTTGCCTTCTAAATCAAATAAACGTTGATAAAATATCGACAAGTGTCTCTTTTCTTTTCGGATAGTTAAAAATAACGAGCATCCTTCATCGCGATGTCATTACCGCCTTGTTTTGTAATACCATTACGAATTTATCATTCACCGATGACAGAACTAATTTGGCATTAATTAATTTGCTGGGATGATTGACAGAATAATTAATGATATATTCATCGAAACACTTGTGTATACATTACTAAATCCAGACATCGCATCATGCCTCCCTTCTTTTTGTTTACATATATTCTACGAACTTGGAAAATATCGATTTCGCAGAGAAACGTTTAATTCTTTCAAAAAAATAACATAATTCAGCTACAAGATTTTTAATAACGTTCGTTATTTAACTTACAATGTTAAATATTAAGTTGCTGCAGAAATATTATAATTGTAATAATTTTAATTTTAATTTATATTATATTAATACAATATTGTATTATTGTATTTATTAACTTAGTAAAAGCTAAATCTTTTAGAAAGTTGTTTCGTACTTGGAAAAAAAAGTCGTTTAGAGTCTATCATTAGAAAATTCAACATTTCAAATATCTAATGAATAGATTGCGAGTCTATTAACTATTCGTAGTTTTATTTTATTAAACATATATTGTAAATTTACTTATTAATAATAATGGCGAATTTAGAACTTTAAAACGTTCTTAAAAATACGTTTCACAGAGAATAAATAATAAAAATAGTAAATATAATATAATTAGTTCGTATTTGTGGGAAATTTAAAGTAAATAAAAACTAATAAGCGTCTATGAAACAAACTTACAGAAATAAGTAACTTGTTGGTTCGACCAATCACCTGTTCAGATAACGAAATTAAAAAACTTGCAAAAATTGAAGTCGACAAATTTTTCAATTTCCCATTTTCTCTCACGTCAAACGTGACTCGGTAGCTCTATTCTGCCGGGAAAAACCAAGAGATACTTTGTACCAAAAAAACAAAAAGAAAACAAAAAAAAAAAAAAACGAAACGACCGTGCAGAATTTATGCATTCATGCAGCAACTTAATATCAAACACAAGTGCATACGTGTGACCGTGCCGTAATTTACAACTTAGATCAATTTAATCGGCAATAAAGAGGAAACAAAGAAACCAACTGACAAAACGATGGGGACAGAGTGTTACGAAAGAGAGTGCGAAATAATTGACACAATTCGTGTCTCGCGGACCCGGGGAATCTAATTTCGCGGCGGAAACATAACGATTACACGCGTAATCGGCCGGTTTGCCAAAACGCGGCCATAATTGGTGGCAAAACGTCGTGATTAATGGCAAATTTAACACGCGACGCACCTGTGTCGGTCGCGAATGCTCGTCGTCGACTGTCTCTACCTGGTGAACGCCGATTTCGCGCCGCTTCCGCCACGAAATCGTCCCATTATCAGTGTAAAACAATACATTTAGTACAACAAGCACACGATAAAAAAATTCCATCGGAAGGAGGAAAATATTTTCAGAACGCGTTCGTAAAGACATGGAAATTTTTACCTAAAGATTGCTCTTAGCGATTAAAAAGTAAAAGTCTGAAGTACACGGGTCTTGATGAGGTGTACAGAGTTGAATATTTTTCTTTTTTTTTTTTTTTTTTTTTTTTTTCATTTTCTTCCTCTTGTCGAGTCACGTCGACAGAGATACGCGTTATTTGTCCCGCGATAATCTAATTCTTAGATCTTTTCTTTGACTTATTGACATGTCATTCCGTTCAGATAAATGCACTTACTTAGTTACACTAGACTTCAGTGACGATTGTTAATACCTCTGCTGATTAGATGGTAATTAGCGTGACGTTGCGTTCAACGTACATACATACGCGAGTGCTTGGTAATAAAATGTTCTTTTTCTTCTTTTCCTTTTTTTATTGAGTTCTGCGTTTGAATTGAATTTTTTGAACAATCGTGTGAGAATATCAGCAACTTAGATAGAAGAATTTAATACAATTGGATAAAACTGTGTAAATTTTATAATGCGATAGGCAAATATTTTTTTCAGTCGTTGAAATATTATACAGTAAATATGTAACTGAGGAAAGAAAATAAGTAAAAGTTAGAACGATTAGAAAACATAATTTTTGTGATGTAAGTACGTCAACAACTGTTTCTTACAAAGTTAATTTGCATCAATATTTGTTTATTAGTATTAATAGATTTTTGTCTCTAACAATAACAAGCTAAATGTTTGATTTTACAAATTACAAATCATTTAATTACTTTATTTGTTGCAAAATTGTCGTACAATGTCAATTTACCAGCATTATTACATAATTGATAATTGTCATTAATTTACAAGTTACGAGCTGAACTACAACAGCTGTTAATACATTTTACAAATACGTTCTACAAATTATTTATGAAAAAGAATGATATAAATTATGAATCGTCTTACGAAATGAACAAACTATATATAGTACGATAAGAGGTATAAACATCAAATAAAATTGACAATTCCTTATTTATTTATTATTTGTTCTGGTAACTTGTAACTTGTAAAATTCGACTGACAGTCAACGTGTTAATATTACCCAAAACGCAAGAACACATCGTAACAGCAAAGGAAATATTTTCAAAAAAATATCAAGAATATAAATCTTTAATCTTATTGCTGGCGCAAACCTGTAATCACGTTTGTGAGATTGTATCCATTGTTTGGATCGGTTCTAGGAACGATTAACTAGTTTAACACAAAAAGAAAAAGAAAAAAATGATTTACTTGGATAAATGCGTTTAAAGGGGAAGGGCGGAAGGCAAAAGAATTTCAGACAAAGGGGCCCTCGAACAATTCGTAGACTCTTAGGAATCCTGACTCAGTCTGTTCTTATCCTTCGGACGAGTAGCATCTCTGGAATTGAAGTCACTCGTGAAGTGTCTAACCTCGCGAATTCGCAAGTCGTCGATCATCGAATGGGGGTGAGTGTTTCTTTCTTTTAATTGTTGGAAGCCATTTGACGCATTTAACTTAAGGAATCAAAATGATGGGTTTCGGTTTTCTTTTTATTCAAAAGAGATTCACAAAACTAAACTGAATTGTAGAGATTTTTTAAAAATATGGATTATAATATAATAAGATATATTGTGAAGATATATGATGAAAATTTTTTGGTAAAATTTTTAGTTCACATAGATAAATGTCACAATAGATATCAACTGATAATAAGATATTAAATTTTATTAATAAAATACTTATTGAAAATATACACTTTATAAAAGCTAGAATTATTAATTATTTGAATTATATCAACGCTTACTGAGCATAAATGTATACGTGTTGATAAAATGTACACGTGTTCATGTCTGATCTGCGTTTTTAGTGCGCAATAGTCTTACCTACTATTTGCCTTATCTATTACCTTTCCAAAAGTTGGAAAAAATTCATACAACACTTTCAAACGTTCGAAAATTTATCAGAAAACTTTTCACAAATAATTTAATTGTTTATATGCATTATATATTAAATTATATATTAAATAGCATGTACGTAGTAAATACAAGCGACAGTATAAAGTATGTAATAAAATGTGTTTTGTTTTTATTAAGTGTATATTTGCAATAAATACTTCATAATTATATGATAAAAATTGTTTGATCAAATTGATTTGATAGTCGTATGTTATTGTAATTCTACTAAAATTTCAATTTATAGAATACACATAAATACGTTCAACGAAATTTTCCATCGTTATACAAATATTATTACTTTCGTGTTGGTAATTAACGTTGGCATTGAAATTTTATATTTTAATTGTGACATTTAGACGTATAAATCGTTGTTTTATCTAGGCAAAATAAATAAAACGATACGCGATATTATTATTTATCAAAGCTGATCCTAAGCACTATGCCGATGAAGTAACTCCGCATATAAAATAGATGACGAAATAACCTCGATAAATTATATCAGTGGAAAATATCCCGATACTAGTTAGAATATTTCAAAACTCAATTAATCAACTAACTAACATGCTAAATTTTGCAACACCTCGCTAAAATCGTTGCAAAATCGCTCGACGGAATTGCGTTTTCCTCTCCTCCGTGATCTAAATCGATTTTTCTTCAATAATGCGCGTATAACGTTTCAATTAAATTCAACAGACTAACTGACAATTTCTAACAAATATATCAACGACTTGAATGTCTATATTCAAAATAGAAATTAAATTACTTGAAATAATATATTTAATCGATCAGAGATCGATTTTGTAGGCATTAAAAATTCAATAAACAAGTCCACCTGCAATGATTTTATCCTTTATAATCACTTCACAACAGAATATCATGACTTTTATTTTAATTTTCTCTTTCTTTTTATTTCCAAATTAAAAATCGTATTTAACAAACATTCTCGCAATGTTAATGCAAGTGATAATATTTTAGCAATAATAGTATAGTAATTTTTATTATTAATTATAATATATTTAATATTCTAGTATTTGAACTCGTATTCCAATGAATTCAGTCGACCTTTATTTTTCAAACATGTTCGGTCACGGGAGAATAAAGATTATGACTTATTAATTCCATGAAAAGGTAATAAACAAGAGCTATAACTTACTAATTCCATGAAAAGGTAATTCACAATTAATTCCTCAGGTAAAGTTCGTACACTCTAGTAAACAAAACAGTATATTATACCTGTACACCTAGTATATTATACCTGTACACAAACAGAAGAATTCGTTTGAAGAGAATGTAGCCATAAGAAAACACGTAAAGCCTTTTACAATACCACTGATAAAAAACATAATCAGTAAGTTTTACGATTGTCAGTGTTATCGTTGCTATTCATAGATTTACCATATTGTCAATATAATTTTTCTTCTAGTTCTTCACTACGTCTAAACGTTTGACGAGACCTTGCTTGAACGTCACTCTTTCAATTTATTTACCTCTGTCATTCTTAGCTGTCATACTTAACTTTCAAGATAGCAACAATGAAAAAATATGAAGACCACGTAGAAAATATATGACACGTGTCCGTTTATGTTGATTTTTTTTTTTTAATTTACATATATCATTTGCTGAATAAACAATTTGATTTTGTGAAATAGTTGAGAAAAGATTCAATTTAATGGATCTGATTTCTAGTGACAAATTCAGAAATTTGGTAGCTAAAACAATTTTTGTTATTGCGTGAAATAATTAAAAAAGAGTATAATCTAATATTTTCGAATACGTACGAACTTCTTGGAAGTAGGCGACAAATTCAGAAATTTTACGTCACTTAAGGCTGCTCTAAAAGAATTAAAGTATACAGAAATGTACAGAGAGTACTTACAAAATAAATATTTTATGTAAAACAATTGGAATGCATCGAACGAAAGAATTAAAGACGTTAGACTAATTCCTTTGCAGCGAATAAGCGCGAAGACGCGTCTTTTATTACGAATCTTTTAATTGTCCCTCAATAAAAAACGGGAAACATGACTTGTCGTATCTTCACTTCCAACCTTCAAACATTCCTCGCTTGCTCTCAGACAATCAGAATGAAAAAGCATCGAGCGAAAAAGATAACGCTAGACGACGCTGCTCATCCTGGCGCGCTGACAATTTCGTTCTATATTCGAATTCTGACCATGTCATGTTCATTTTAATAATGCCACGACTGTGACCGAGTAATCACCCACATGAAGAACCGGAAGATGAGTGCACTGTCATCCTCGTCTACCATAATTCGCGATAAAGGTGTCATTGGTGTGCTTGTCTCATGGCGATTTGCTGTTATTACGTAAACTGAAAAACCTTCTTCTTGATTTTACTGTTTTGATCCATTTAAAAAAAAAAAAATATGAAAAAATTAAATTTTAACGAGGAATTTTAAAATTTTACAAATAAAGTATTTCATTGTAAAGTGTGGAAAAATTGGAAAATTTCAAAAGTTTTTAAATAAACTGTTTTAATTTGACAACAAACGATAATCAGTAGTCGTTCAGATTTCTGTCTGGCATGCTTTTCAAAGCAAAATACAAAAGAAGATGAAAAAAATGTGGAACATCGCGTGTCGAACAAATCTGCTGACAAATCATTTGATTTGATTTCTGTGTTTATTAGGGAGATCTGATAACGAGTTATCACGAGATTAAACGCTTATTATTTTTATTTTTCTTACGTCCAGATAATAGAAAGATGATAGAAGTTAGAAACTTTCCTTTCGAAATTGTGCAACAGCGAAAGAATTAGTGCTTTATACACATCTGCGTGTGTAGATAATAACACCGACAATGGGGAAAATTTATTTTTAATAAAGGAGAGGATTTTTAACTCTCGAAATAAAAATGAAGAAATTGACACCATTGTCGTATACTTATTTTACAAAGAGATGAATTTTCGCAATCGTATCAAACAACGTAACACTTGGTCATTATTTTCTCGATCATTTGCTTGAAGCAGATATGATTTAAAGAGACGATTTTCCTTTTTTTTTTTTAAATAAACATAGATATCTAAATTTTAGTACAAAAGTTAATCCATGAGTACTATGAGTCGATCTAAATATGAATATTATATTTCGTGTAACTGAAGAAATGAAGTAAAAGAAAAAATAAAAGAATAATTATAAAATATACACATATATGTTGCCAGGTATAATATTAATAATTAATATAATAAAATTAATGATATGTTAATAATAACGATACTTGATGTGAAATATGTATAAACTTGTATCAAAAGTACACATGCAAATTCCGTTATTATTTGGTAAATGTCATCATCAAAAATATTGTGTTCCACAAATTGTAACGATTAAAAAATTTGAGATTGAAAAGATCTCTACACACATCTCCGGATTAGAAAGTATATTTGAACGGAGAGAAGAGCAGTTACAATTGAATTCAGTTCAATTTATTTCACCTTCTATTTTCATTTTATGTACTTACATGTATATACATGAGCGTATATGTACGTTGTACATAGTTCAAGATTGCATCACGTTTACGTCAAATGCGCACGTATATATTTAGTCTTCAAACTAAATGAAATCAGAACGATCTTAATCACTTTTAATCGATCAAACAGACTTTGCAACGCTTTCAAGAATCTGTCATTGAACTTTAAAAGTAGTCAGTTTGTCAAAAACTATAGCATTGACCTAACATAATCAACAACTCGAGAAGAGTATAGATAGCTTACAATCAGAGAAAAAATTATTTTTATAATTTATTTGATAATTCTTTATAATTCTTCATTAACTCATAAAAGATCAACGATGCATTGACGCAACATTTCATTTCTCTACAACTTTCATTCAACACCATGATTGTGAAAGAGAATTCCAAGGAATTGTTTGATATGCTTTATCGTTACTATTGTACTATTTATCTAGATTTCGCAATTTTTAAAAATTCAAAGATTGCCAATTTTTTGTGCATTTACAGACAAATTTTGAGATGCAAGATTGCCTCTTAACCTCGTCTTCATTCTAGTTATAATTTTAAAAAAACAACCCAATCAACAGATCAAGAAAAAAAGAAATAACTTCGTCGTGAAATAAAATTCTCAAATAAATTTCCCATTAAATGACAAAAGTTTCTCAAATTTTCCCAGTTAAATAGCAATAAAAAAAAAAAAAAAGAAAACGAAAACAATGATTTCTTTTTACCAAAAACGAAAAGAAAAAGAAACGAAGAAAGGTTCATTTGAACGTACGTCCATCACGTACTGTTCATCGCGCATCAGACAGATCTCTCAAATTTTCGTTTCCGTTAAGGAACCAGCCAAATCAACAGTTGGAAAAGTAAAGGACCGGAGGAAACTAAAATTACTTCACGTTCTCGCGCACACGACCACCATTCACCACGCATCAGATTTCCCAGCGAAACGATTCGAGCAGTGAAAGCTGCCTGCGAAACCACGTGTCTATTGCTTACTTGCGCGGGAAAGTTTGCCTTCATTTCGACCGGTTTGCTCCGACATCCACGAATCGGAGGAGCGACTCGCGGATTGTTTGGGGGACAAACGGAGGCGGCTCGAGCTTTTTGGTCGACGATCGCGTTCAGTCGACGTTGGTCGCTCGGCAAAATCGGCTCGTTAGCAGGAAACGCGAGTTCACCATCCCAGTCGTGTGCCACGCACTCGTCTCGTCGTGGTATTTGTTGTCGAACTGTGTGAATCTGGTTGTGCAACCAGAGGCCAGTTCTCATCAGACGCGGGGAAAGGAGATTTCACCGGTGAGTGATTGGCACGGGGATCCCTCTCGTTACGAGGGACGTGATATTTTTAGTTCAACAATCGGTACGTTCGAACGATCCCGGTTCCGAACGCTTGGCGGAGATTCGCGCGCTCCGGATGTCTGCTCCGTCGATACGTCATTCTTCTGTTAACCCTACTCCCAAGAGCGTTGCACGATGAAAGTCGATTGTCGCATTGAAAAGGATGGAAATCGAGAAATTTGGAAATTTGTTGAACGAGTGGCGAGGGCACCGAGTGATTTCTGAAGATCAATGTGAGAATCGTGAGATGTATACAGAGGGTTCTCGAATCGTTTAAAGGTTTTCTTTCGAGTGGTCTTGATCGAATGATTGATCGAGTTCGCGTAATGTTGACGTGGCTGAAATGTCTTGTCTAATGTTTCTTTTCTTTACTATACAATTTAGCTTTCTTTTCTTAATAATACAATTTTAAAATTCTGTGATGGCAAATATTAGTATTGTTACTGAATTTGAAAAATCAATTTAATCTATTCTAATCTGTGAAATCTATATTGTTATATTTACAATTAGAAAGAATAAAATTCTTTTAATTATATATATAGAAAAATATTGTATATATAATTCTTATATATTCTTCTTCCTGTATATACATTCTTTTAATTATGTATATCAAAATATTATATGTCTAATTAAAAAGAATAAAATCATTGCAGGTTAATAATTTACATAGTAAAAAGATGAGCAAAAATCAGGATACTTCTGAGCATTGGTATATAGTGTATATGATGTAGATTTTCGCTGATTCGCGAAAAGAAATCTTGGTATGCGTCGAAATAAAATAAAAAATGTGCGTGCCGACAGACCACATATCGGGAAATATTTAAATTCAGTAAAGGTAATGTCAGCAGTATATAACTTACAGCTTTGGTCGTCAAAAAATTTCTATCGTCTAAATTTCCCAAATTGCAAATTAAAAGTGAAAGGTTATTCTTCTTTCTACCTTTGAAAGTTTTCTCAACTCACTTTAGTTTCAATCAGGAATTAAAAAATTTTGCAACCCAAAATTCCTCATTTTTGTCTTTTACTCTAATTGAAAATTGTAATCAGAGGCCGTCATACTTATTAATGCCTTCCGATGTTATATAACTTGTTTCGATGGTTCTTCTTTTATAAATATTAAAATTCGTACTTCAAAAACTCAGTGCACAAAAGAATTTCCCTCACAAATTAAAAAAATAGAGTCCATTCTGAAATGATTCAAGTAATCTTCAATCTTCGATCTTCGGTCTCCTCTCTATCTTGAAGAATAACATCACAGTTTTTAATTCGTTAAAGTTGTAATGATCGTTTCTCGTTACACGGGGAATTTCACTGCCAAGTTTAACTGAAAAATAATTTTCTTACACGAGCGCGTGATGCGCGGTCGTTTGCAATAAAAATTAACGAGCTAGAAAATAGCGGATAGCCACGATTGTATTTTTTATTTTGTTCCATCTGGTTTAATAGAAAATCCGGAGGATATTAGACCCGTGACAAAGGATCCTGCGACGTGCTCGAAAACGAGAAATCCAACGATCCGTAAAATGAATGGATTGTCTTAAAACGAAGCCGTTGATTGTTGAGGGGGAGAAAAGGAAGAAGAACGAGACAGATAATAGAACAGGAGAGAAACGATGAGAACTACGAATCGGACGAGATCGTAATTGGTGAACCATTTGTCTCCTTCCTTGCCATTTTTCTGACTGATAATCACGCGCCGCCAAAGTAGTCGCTGTCTCGTTACATTTAAAACAGTCAGATAAAGCTGAAACCAGCGTGTAACTGGACAAAAGTGCAGTCTAATCGTGAACAACCACGCGACAAAATGCTCGTCGCTTGGATCGTGATCACAATCCTTCTGGCGTTCCCCAGTCAGATTCTTGGCAATCCTGTGGAACCTGTGCCACAAAAATCTGAAGGACTCACGCTTAGGATCGTTCACACAAATGATATGCACTCGAGGTAATTGTTTTTTGTGTTTTTGATTTCTTTTTTCCTTTTTCTATTGAGAAAGAGAAGTTGAATATTCGAAGAAGAATATTTATGTTTTAAGCTTTTCAAGAGTAACTGTTTCTTATCAGTGTGAGTATCCCCTTTTTCTTTTTCTTGAGATAGAAATAAAGTCTCTATGTAGCTCAAATTTATCATCACTTCGATTATTCGCTATTTTGTTACAATTTTTCCGTTTCTCTTTTCTCTTTTTCTATAATTATTATCTGTGGGAATTTTGCTTGGAAGTAATTAGCTTCATTGATCAGCTTGATTATTTATTTTTATTAAATTGTAATTATAACTGGTCAGCTTAATTATTTAGCTTTATTATTTTACTATTTCTTCTCCTATATACTTTCCTTTTAAATTTATTTTTTAGAGAAAGAACAAATAAGAAATATATGTTAAATTTCTTAGAAATAATCGTTATCGATCACAATATCTCAATTTCTCTATAAAGATAATCTCTAATTTCTAGAAAAGAGATAACACAACAATGGAAATAATGGTTATTGCAATTAATTTAGCTTAAAACTTAAGTTAATTCTGTTTTGTCCCATTAATGTTCACAGATTCATACAAACATCGAGATTATCAAGCGTTTGCTCAGAGAAAGAAGCAAAAGAGAATAAATGTTATGGAGGATTCGCTAGGATTGCAACTTTGATCCGACAAGCTAGGAATTCAGCGACACCGTGTCTTTTCCTCAATGCTGGTGATACATATCAAGGAACTGTGTGGTTCAACGTGTATAAATGGGAAATTGTGGCCAAATTCTTGAACATTTTAGCTCCGGACGCCGCGGTAGAGTATTCAACTTAAAGACATTTTTATAGCGTGAAATTTTTTTATCGTGCAGTTATATAAAATTGCACTTTTTTTTTTATTCGTCGTTCACGTGCCGTTATTTAATATCTCGCCAGTCATTTATATTGATTTGGACGATGGTTAATTCGTAGTAAAGCGAATTAAATGAACGGCTGTCTGAATGAGGCATTAAAAAAGATCGATTCGATTCAAGGATACTAGGGAGAAGATCGTCAAAAAGTCAATCAATGTACGATTGATATAATTTTAATAAATCATAAAATACGTAAATTATAACGTTAGATCGATTTTTCTTTTGTAAAAACTCTGTCGAATTGTTCAAATTTTCATTAAATTAACTAGTAACACAAAGATGCACGTTTTTGTGCATCAAAAATAAGAAGAATAGAATGAAACACAACACAGGCGAAAATTATTTTCACACGAGAATTATTCTGAAATTGAGTTTCGCTTGTTGTTGATTTATTAGTATAACAAAATTAAAAATCTCTAACTTTACAAGTTTATTACCATTATTTTACGACACGGTCGTAATTATAAATTACAAATTTATTGTTTGTACATTTAAAGCGAAATTTAAAGATCCAAAGAAGCAGTAGACAAAAAGAATTGAAATTTCCTCAGTTGTAAAATCGAAAGTCTAATCGAAACGCGTAAAACTACCCACAAAATAAAATTCTAGATTTTTCTGTCGTAAAATTGCAGAGTTTAGGAAACCACGAGTTCGACGACGGTGTGGAAGGTTTAATACCCTTCATTCAAAACGCCTCGTTCCCCATAGTGACCTCCAATCTGGACTTAAGCAAACAACCAAATCTGGCGGCCACGAAATTACAAAACAGTACAATTCTAATAGTGAATGGAACGAAAATCGGTGTAATCGGTTATCTGACCCCAGACACCAAAATAATCTCCACAACAGAGGAAGTGATCTTCCTAGATGAAGTGGAGAGCATTCGCAGAGAAGTGAAAGAATTAAAAAGCCAAGGTGTGAACATATTAATCGCTGTTGGACACTCCGGTTTCGAAGTAGACAAAAAGATCGCCCGGGAAGTGGAGGATATCGACATAGTGATCGGTGGACATACAAATACTTTCCTTTATAGTGGAAAACAACCGGATATAGAAGTGCCAGAAGGTTTATATCCAACAGAAGTAGTGCAGAAAAATGGAAGAAAGGTTTATGTGGTGCAAGCGTACGCTTATACCAAATATCTTGGTAATTTTACGGTGACTTTTGATAGTAAGGGAGAAGTGACTGATATCGTTGGCAATCCTATTCTTGTGAACAGCAGTATTGAACAGGTAAACGTTGGATTTTTATCATAACTCTATATATTATTATTATTTTATATAAAATAATTTTTTTATTTATTAATTATCAAAATGAAAAATTATTTTCGAAGTTATACTTGAATATTAATGCTTGCGCAATATAATTCCAAAAGTGTAGAAGTTATTCTTAAAACTCAAGTAATTAGGTAATTTATTTTCTTTGCCAATTTGATCTTGATCGTCTTATTCCTAATTTTCAATTCTCGAGTTCACTTCACTTTTATTCGCCCCATAAAATTGTGTATTAGAAGTACCTAACCAGAAAGAAGCATCTTCTGTCTTTTCCAAATCATTTATTCTCTTTATTCCTGATTTTACTCAAAGGAGAGATTAGATTTTATGCTCTTGTTAATATATCATGATTTTCAATAAAATTAATTGAACAAAATCTGTGATATCAAATTAAAAATTGTATTAATTTTGTTAATTATACAATTCTTTGCTTTTGTTTCTTAATAGGCACAAGATATTTTAAACGAATTGGAACAGATGAGAGGAGCCATCGATAATATTAGCCTAACAGTAATTGGAAAGACACGAGTGTTTCTCGAAGGAGATAGTAAAATTTGTAGACGAAGGGAGTGCAATCTGGGCAATTTAATTACAGATTCTATGATTGATTACAATGCTGCTGAATATGCAGATCCATATAAATGGACAGATGCTGCGATAGCTCTTCATAATGGTGGTAGTATCAGAAGTTCCATCACAAGAAACGACGACGATAAAATCACCATGGGAGATGTCCTCGGCGTGCTACCCTTTCAGAACGCTATTGTAAAAGCTTCGATGACTGGAGAACTGATTTTGTCTGTATTAGAATGGAGCGTTTATAATCTAGAGCCAGACGATACCGCTAATCTCTATGGAGCATTTCTGCAAGTCTCAGGACTTCAAGTATGTAATTAAATTACTCATGGTAATTAATAAAAGTTGCTTAAATCAAAATATAATTTTTTTTACTATTATTAAAAATTAATATTTTACTACTCTTAAGTAGTATGTAATTGTAGTATGTTATTTTATTTAAATGGTTACAGGTGGTCTACAACTTAACTCTACCAAGAAAATCAAGAGTAGTTTCAGTAGAAGTATTGTGTGCATCTTGTAATGTTCCAACATATAGCAAACTTGAAAAAAATCAAACATATAATGTTCTTCTGACTGACTTCATGCAAAGTGGAGGTGATGGATATTCCATGTTAGAAGATCTTCAAACTACATCTCTTGGTATATTCACACAAATTTCGTTAGATATTTTAAATAAATTATTTGGTTAATAAACGATGTAACAACGCTTTTTTTTTATAGGTGTCAGTACAACAGATACTTTAATTGTATATTTAAAGAAACATAGTCCTATACATCCTGCTGTTGAATGGAGAATTACTTTTAATCAAACTCAGTGCAGTGGTTCTGACAGTATATACCAGTCCATAAGATTAATGATTTTATTACCAATATTCAGTTGGTTATTAGCAAGATAGATTCTAATGGTGTATTTTATGAAACTGACATTCAGTATTTTAAAAATTTACAATTTATACTGATTTTTTACGCACGTTTTCTATTCCACTACCTCAAATATACTATACTATAAACTGTATCTTTTGAAGTTCAGTAAGTTCACACAACTACAGTATCTATATAATTATTCGGTTCCGATAGAAGTACTTTGATCATTATTTTAATTAAGTACCCAATATTCAACGATATTGTTTTTTTTATCTCTGTCAATTTTATACATCAATATACATACATATACATACACACACACACACACACACACACACATATATATATATTGTTATTGATATCAAATATACATTTGTTACTGACTTCAAATGTATATAATACATAAATATATTTTTAATACACATAAATATATGATATAAATAAATATTATTAAACATAAACATATCTATATAGAAATATTTGATATAAAAATAAGAAAAAATAGTTTCATAGTACATTTATTTTTTTTTTTTTTTTTTATAAAAAATAACATTAAACTTTATTCTGTATAAATTCTATATTATGTAAAACATTACTTAGAGTTCAGGAATTTCAAATCGATTGCCATTCAAATCGTAGACACGTTTCAAAGTTTCTACTACATTATTCATTTCTTCACACGGCATTGGCACCAACTCAAACAGTACTTCGATCATTTTTAACAAATCGTTAAGGATGTGTTTATCTGAAATATTTCCTTCTGTCGCAATATCGACATATCTATTAAATTTCCTTAATGTATGATTAATTTTGTTCCGATCTTCCTTCTTTTTAACTAAATTCTAGAAAAAAAAAACAAATTACAAAAGTAGGTAATGGTATAAAAATAATCTCCTAAAATATGTTTAATTACTAAGTAACTTACTCTAAAAGACTTTAGATTATAGTATAGCGGCCAATCTTCTTCACATGCTGGACAATTGCACTTAAAATAATACTGTTTCAAAAGTTCTTTTTGTCTCACAGCTTTTGGTGTAATAGCATAATGTTGAGTATAATTATCACATAACTTAGAAAGAAGAAAAGAATATTTGTCACTGACATTGCATTAATATAATAATGTACTATTTATATATTACTTAAATATACCTGTTCACCTTCTTTAATAGGATACATAGCATATATAATCATATACTCAGATCTTGAATGCCTTAAGATATTTGGATTACAACTGTGATTAATTAAACTGAAGAATGGCATAGCTGCAACACCACGTTCAACTGCTTCTAATCCATATTCCTCAGAAAACTGCAAATAATTATTTATAAAGGTTTATGACAAAAAGAAAATTACAGAAATGACCATCAAATTCATGAAGCATTGTATTTTTAGTAATTACATACACTGTGAATATTACTAGGAATCAACTGCTGATGTCTCAGAATAAGACCACCAACAAATGTAACATCAGCATTTTTTATTAACACAGATAAATCTTTGCTTAATGGACTCCCAAACATGTTAGTACCTGTTGCTAAAAAATATAAAATAAAGCTTGCATCTAAAGATCTTCTAAAAAGATCTTGTACTGAACGTTTCTCAGTATTAGTCACAAGACCTAATAAACTTCTATATTTATCACTAGGAAAGGTTCCATCTTTAGAAAAACCTTTTGTGCGAGGATCTGAAAAATTTGTAAAATTAATACTCATTTATATTATCATCGTAGGGATGCATCTAGTTATTTACCATCACAATTATCAACTTCTTTTAACTCCTCTCGTAATTCTTGCATGCTTGTAGCTTCTCTCACAGCTTGAATAGTAAGCCTTAAACTGAACAGATCTAGTTTGACAAAATTCATCTTTAACATAGATGGAAATACTGCACATTCAACATCATGATATTTTTTCCAGTCCATAGCCTTACATTCCTCTGAACAATACATAGCATATGTGCAGTATTCACAAGGTATATTAGCCCAAGACACATCTAAACAATTTGAACAATGCGTATGCACATTATCAGGCGTTAATATCAATGAGTAAGGCTTTTCTACTGCAATTACTTCACCAGGCCTTATTCTACGAGTAGCTATAATATGTCTACCATATTCTTCATTATACTTTATAATTACAGCATCAGAAGCACAAGGAACTTCACTGTTATGAGTCTGTATCTTAGGAAGCGGTGGTTGTTTCAGAATATCTTGCTTCTTAAACTTTTGAGATACTAAGTTGTGGTTTATAGAATTTAGTTTTTCATTTAATTTTTTTCGATTAATATCATTTATAGACATTTTTTCTAACCAATACTGTGCTTCATTTATGCCATCTTCCATACATGGATGTTTCAGTGCATTTAGACACTCAACTTTTCTTACGTAAAGCTTAGCACGTAAATTATCTGGATACTTGAGTGCTAGTGCTCTATCTATGTCTTGAATACATAATTCATATTTATGCAATTTCAATAAAATAGCAGATCTGTTAGCATATGCCAAAGCAAGTTGCTCAGATGGATAAGGAGCATAAGCTATACTTTTAGTATACAACTTTAGTGCATCCACACATGTATGATTCTTTAATGGTGTTGAAACAAATAATTTATTACCCTCTTCTCTTAATTTCTCCGACTCCTTTGCATTCTTTATATCGCCAGAAGCTTGTGGAATTATATTATATTCTAACATAACATTGAGACTAAATATTACACGTTCTTCATCAGTATATATAGCTTTGTATTTATTAATCATATCTTGATGTTTATTTGCAGCAATTATTTTCCTATTTAATGTATTTAATACTTTCTCCATTTTCTTTCTTTTGTATTATTTCTTCTTTGTATTCATATATATAATATATTATATAATGTGCATATATATATATATGCAAATTCAAAAATAACTATAGTTAATATTGAACGTCGAACGGCAATACCCGTTATTGTCGCCAATTTATGTCCCTAAAAAATTATTTTTAAAAGTATTACGTTTCTATAATAGTATAAAATAAAACAATATCCTTGTTGCAATATCGTGTAACAACGAATTATTACCTCAGGAAATCAGAATCTTTGCACATTTAACATAAAGATCATTGTGTAGTTTCACAACTAACTGTGGTTTAAGATCATATCAAACCAATTCTCAAGTTGAGTTCTAAGGAATCCCAAGTAGAAGTATCAAGTTGATGTTATATTAAAATAAACATATTGCATTTCATTCAAAAGCTAAACGGCAATAGGGGTCAGTTAGCGAGGCAAAATTCCGGTCGGTACTACCAACAAGTTCAAAGAATAGTTACAGTGACATTACAATTTGTACCAAAAGAATAACTAATTTTATCAAGATATTCATAAGAGTGCATTCTTTCAAACGTCATTTTGTTTCATTGGTCTATTGAATATCATTAATATCAATAATGAAGTAACTACGATACTTCGAATAGATGTCTTTCTTAGTAAGACGCTCGGAACAATTTAACAGGGCTTGATTTATGTTTTTCATTGGCTTAATTTATGTTTTTCATTGAATTATGTAATCGTAAAGTATTACACGGTATAAATTACACAAAGTGTATCTTTTCTTTTGTCATTCTCAGTTAAAAGTTGATACTTAATCTGATAACAGTTTGCAACGATAAACGTTTCGGCATGCAATGATGTATGCAAGTTTCTTGCGAGTCCAGACAAAAAGTTATACTTAATTTGTCTTTCTTATCTATCGTTGAAAGTATAAATTTTACTTGGTCGAATACGATACAACAGTGATAAATTATATTGAGAAATACTAATACTGAGAAACTATATTTGATTTTGTACAAACGTAATCTAATAAATTATATATGTACGTAACTCGTTACAAGTGTACGATAAATATGAGAATATATAAAAAAGTGTGCTTGTGTTGTACCATTCGGTTTTTCAAAAGCAACGTAAAGATATTATAATGCAACTGACAAAAATATCGTTTGCACCATCTCAAGCAACCTACGTACATAATTATAATCAAATTAAAGCGAAAATACAGAGATGAAACATGTTCAAGCTTTCTTGTGCAACAAATAAATTGGTCTGGAGATAATATTGAAATGTTGGCATTGCTCATTCTCACTGGCATTAAGTTAGTCAATACAATTGTAGCAAATTAAGAAAAATTCACACTGATGTTCGTTATTTATTCTCACATTATAGAGTCGGACAGTAAGTAATACATGTTTTAATGTCAATAGATCGAGACATCGGGAGTGAAATTCAAGCAAGTAAATACGATTTCAGCCAAGGCGCATGCTATCCGCTGCTTCGTGATGCTAGGAATTTTTTTTTAAGAAGGTATCACTGATGACAATAATCCTTCGGTTTAATATCTATCTCATTCATAGCATTACGCTATATCAGTTTCCGTTCTGCGATCATGGGTTGCTGTAAGAGTATCGTTCCCGAGAGAAGATAGCTTCGTCGGAGTTACTAATTATTTTTCGTATCGCAAACGCCGGTATTAGAATTTCCTTCCCGTTTCCAGAAGGTAACAAATCGCACGCACACGACTGTATGATTTTTGAAAAAAGAAGCAAAAAGAGAAAAAACATTGACATCGATAATCAATAACACGAAATGGAAACATACCGATTATAAAAAAACTTTATGACGCCTCTTTGTTTTCTATGCGACATATTTTTTTTATTATTCTTTTTTTCCGTTTTTTTGTTTCGATGAAAATATGTATTTAATAATCTATGCAAGCTCATCATAATCTTTTTTTTTTTTTTTTTTTTTTTTTTTTTTTTTTTTTTTTTTTTTTTTTTTTTTTTTATAGTAAATTTCAAGGAAAAGTGGTCTGTCTTGATATTTTTTAACGAACTTATGAACAGACATTGACGTAATAGTGTTTATGTACGTTTGTTAATTATTAAATTTTTGTACCATTGAATGAAATTATTTATACGAATATTCCAAACAACTTATTCTATTTAGTAAATATTTTTGAGATTTAATAATAAAATACTGATGTCGTTCCTAAATCACTTCTAGATTAATTGATAATTATATAATATTGTTAATAAAATTAACATATAGTTTACGAATTTTATTTCATGATGCGTACATTTAATTAATACATATTATCTATTAAGATAAAATAAAATTTTGTACAAATATATTAATATTAATTTTGTTGAACTTTGTTGAATTATCGATTCAATATATTTCAGGATAGTTCCTTTTAATAAATGGACAAATATATTAATCTATAATGGAAGGCCCGCTAGAAGTAAAAGATTCTACCACAGGTGTAGAGGAATCTATTAAATCAGAGGCACCTGTACAAAACCCAGATAGTAGCGATCGGAGTGATGGTGCAGTGTCACCTCCACCAAATTGTAGCATTTGTTTGGGCAAATTAGTGAATACCTCATTCACTGATAGTTGCCTTCATCAATTTTGTTTCACTTGTTTGCTTCAATGGTCGAAAATAAAAACTGAATGTCCATTGTGTAAGCAAACATTCAAATCGATCATACACAATGTTAGGTCAGAAGAAGATTATGACCAGTATCATGTACCTAGAGAATTGGCTACTTTTGACCTTTTTGAATTGGGTCACATGGATACTGGCACACATCGTTTCCACTATAGGTATCATAACTTTAATCTTAGATTAATGTTCAATATTAAATATCTAATAACTTCAGAAACAAAAAAATGGAATCATTATAGGACAACAATGACAGGACATCACAGACGTCCACATGAAATAGTGCTTAATCCAGAACAAGTTGCAAGAAGAGAACAGTTACCAAGTATAGCACCACAAGTTCCAATAGGAGAGCGTATACGTAGACGCGTAAATCCAACTGATTATCGTCGTACGATTTACAGGCATGGAATTTGGGCTACTGCATTGCCAGATGTATTTGGCCGTTTTCGTGAATGTAGTGCTGATTTTTATCGGTAAGTTGTTTATACGTTATTAATTTGCGAATTATTATAAACTTGATTAAACAAGTCAATATTCTTATTTCATCTACAGGAGAGAACCGAGGGAATTAAATCGACTTATACCATGGTTAAATAGAGAATTACAAGTATTACTTAATAACAATGCTTCACATGTTGCGTATGTATTAAGAGTTATATTGGATGCTCTTTGTCAGTATGATATCAGAAGTCCAGAATTTCGAGAGTTAGTACGCCCTCATTTCGCCGCATATACGGACCATTTTGTACATGAATTACTTAATTATGCCCGAACAAATTTTGATTTAATTGGCTATGATCAATCTGTAACTTATTTACCACAAGGTATATGATACAATCCATATTACTTGTATATCATGCGCTATACTTAATACTTTTTTTTCTAAAGTTATTGATATCCATTACAGGATTATCAAATGAATATGTAGCAAATATTTTATCACCTACATCTAGCAGTACTAGCACTAGTTCTGATGATTCTGACATTCGAGTTCTAGAGGAAGCAATTGATCTTAGAACAAACACAGACATGCCTAGTGTAGGACCACATACAATTAATATGCCTGGTAAAACCATTTATTTTTTTCTTTTTTCTTTTTTTTTCTTTTTTTTTTTTTGCTATCTCACGTCGTCAAATTACATGAAATTAAAATCGTGGAACATTTTTTTTAATCAGGTCCAAGTACTGTAGCACAAACGTTCCAGTTAGATATTCCATATAATGTACCAGATGTATTGACTATTTCTTCTGATTCCTCCGTGTCAGATAATGATTGTGAAGTAATTGGTTATGTGAAACCTCGTCATGAAAGAACACCGGAAATTATAGAATTACTTTCATCTGATCCTGAGGAAATAAATATTTCCCATGTATCAAATGATAACACTCAGTAAGTAAGATTATTTTATTTCAAAATACTTGATTTCAATAAAAATTAAGTTTATGATAATTTAATGTTATTATCAGAGCTCCAACGTGCTCTGCTTCATACGAAGATATTGTCCAACCCAGTACGTCTCATAACATTAAGAAACGAACATTGGCATCATCGTCTAATGAAAGTGATTCCAATTCAGATAGTGATTACATTTTCCGAAAGTATCAAAATTACACTAGAAAACGTACGAAAAGGAGCAGCGCTAAAAAGCGTAACCGGTCAGTAGAAACAAGAGTCCGCAATCGAACGAATAGAAACTTATCTAGTTCAGGCGAAAGTGACGTTAGAAAAAAGGGAACTAAAAGAACTCAACGAACGTCAAAAAGAAGATTAAGTAGTAGTAGTAGTGACAGCAGTTCTCGCGAAATCGAATCAAAACCGACGGATGAAAAAAAATCAAGAAATTCGCAATATTCTACTGTACGGGTTCGTAAAGATTTAATTAAGAAAGAAACTCGATATTCGGATGATGAGTCATTCAGTAGTAACAGTAGTAGTGATTCAGATGAAATTATGAAAAATGTAAAATCTCGCACATCACGAAAATCTAAAAGAAAATACGCCACTAGTTCGAGTGATTTTGATACAGGTAGAAGTGAAAGAGTAATTAGAACAAGAGGTAAAGCAAGACAAGTATCAGATACAAAGCAGTCTCATCGAAAAGAATCAAGATACAAGAGTGATCGACAATCTGAATCTAGAAGTAGTAGTGCATCTTCTTACGATTCTCGAAAAGAAAAAAGAGATAGCTCTAGGCGCCGAGAATCTCAACGACATCTGAGTGATAATGATAGCACTTGGATAACCAGAGAGGTATTAAAAAAAAACCGTGAATTTAAATCTGAATTTAAATGTAAGGCGAGAGAAGTAATTGTAAGTAGTTCAGATTCCGATGAAGACTTTAGATCGCATAGTCAATGCAGTAATTACTCAAATAAATCATATACACACAAAAAGAAATCGAAACATAAAGATAAGCACAAGAGTAAAAAAAGAAGACGATCTAGTAGTAGAACACATAGTTCATCAAATCGATCACGACTAACCCGACGACATCCTGCTTGAAATTGAAATACATAACATTGAAACATTCCGATTCGAAAAATAATTCGATTACAAAAGGATATAAATGTGTGCAACTCCTACAAAATTTGGAAGGGGTTACAGAAGATTCTCAGGGTAACGTCAAATCAAAATCGATAAAAATAACTATGCATTTGATTAATTGGCTTAAATTCAGAATGATATTACTAGGTTCAATTGAAATTATTTAACGAACAATTTTACTACTTGATTGAAAATTTCTAACGAATTTAAGCAATTATGTGCACATAAAATACAACAACGACAAAGCATGATGAATTCATAATTTCCAATATTGATTTATGAATATTTCTTTACAATTTTAAGGGAGTAGAAATGCAACATGGCGAAAACATACTGCATTTTATAAGAAAATTAAGAAATTGTTTCATTTCTTTATTTCTAAATAAAGAAACAACTTCCACATGTGTTACAAAACTGTGTATAAAATACTGACGTAAAGTCATAGATTTTATTTATAATTTTTTCTACTGTATAAATTGTTTACAATAGAACTAAATTTAAGATGTTAATTTTTATGTTAAATTTTGAATAATATAAGAAAGAAACAAAACATTCTATACACACACATATATCGCCATTATTTTCATAAAGGTACAACAAATTTTGTTACAATTCCCTTCAATTTTGATTCCCAAAGAATATTTGTAAATACATCTCTACGTTATGAGCTAATAATTTAATTAAGACCCTAATTTTTTGTAAAGTATGTAGATTTAGAAATGCTATATGTAAAATTATACATGTTATATATAAATCATAAAATAATTAGTTTATAACTGATAATATTGGTTCTTTTTCTTTCTTTTTTTTTTTTGAAGTACTGTACACTTCTAATGTATGAAACGTGAGAGGATAAAAATCATGCTTTCAAATTATTCAAAAAATTATATTTTTTTTTACACCATATACACAGCTTTTTCACATTTTTCATATTTTAAATTATGTAAAATGCACTCCTTGCGCGTTAAACGCATGTAAAAGGCTAAAAATTTTAATATAAAATTAATCTTACAAAGTTAATCATAATTATTAAAATAGTTCATAAAACCATTATACCTGATAAAATCATCTATATCCATAGTTCTTGCACGTTTATTTTCAGCATCTGCTTTTTGCAAAATATCATTTACCATATCCTTGATGTAAAATCCCTCGGGAAGTTCCTAAATCATAAAATGAAAAATTTGTTAACATTTGAACCAATATTCTTGTGTACTTGTTATATCAATGGTTACCTTATTATTTAAGCTACAATGAAGCTTGTAATTTTTTTCTAACATTGTTAAGACTGTGGTTTGTTTAAATACTGCTGAAAGAGTTTTATTTTTTCGAACAAATGCAATTCGTGTTAAACCATCCCACTCTTGATAATTAATTGGAGGTGGTGGATTGCGTGGTTCTATTCGAACTACATTTGATTCAACTTTTGGTGGTGGTCTAAAATTATTTTTCCCTACTTTCATAAGCAAGTCCACTCGTGCTAACAACTGCGTATTTATACTTAAACGACAATATAATTTATCCCCTGGTTTTGCTACTAAACGTTCAGCAAATTCTCTTTGAAACATAAGCACGGCACATCTGCAGAAAATAATGTGCTAATCAAGCCTGTTTCTGCTTAGATTTCCTGTATGTTAAAAATGTATAATTCTTAAATAGTAATAAACAAATTTTTAAACAAAATGAACATACCTGAACAATGGCCTGTGTAAAAGTAATTTGAATACTAAAGGTGATGATATTTGATATGGTATATTGGCAACGCATAAATCAAAAAATGGTAAATCTGTCTTTAAAATATCACCTATCATGATTTGCAATTTTGACTGATAAGGTGTACCTTGTACACGTTTCTGTAACTCGGCTACCATTCTAGTATCCAATTCACATGCTATTACTTTCTTAGCTTTGTCCAGTAATTTTACTGTCATATTACCAGTACCTGGACCTATTTCTAATACAACATCTGTTGGTCTAACTGCAGCCTTTTCAACCATACTTTGAATAACAAGCGGATTTTTTAAAATATGCTGTCCAATGTCCGTATTAAATAAAATTCCTGAAAGATTAGTACACATTACATTTATCATAGGAGAAATTTGTTACATTGTAAAAAGAAATATATCTATCTCATAGAGAATATTACCCTGTTTCTGGACTTCTTTATGAACACGAGTTGTTTTTTGCGTACGCACTTTCGGCATTTTGTATGTATTATGTTTGAAATACAAAAATATAAAAATTTAATCATACAAAATTCGTCACGTGTCAATAACAAACATTGAACGAAGAAAACCACGTTCTTAAGCTCAAGTTGAATAGATCGTAATTCGAAAGGAATAATTCATTTCTGTGCTAATGTTTTCAGCTCCCTCTTGTGGAACTTTCGATTGCTGAATATCCCTTATCAAATTTCTTTTATTATTATAATATCAAATATTATAAATTGCTAAGGAGTTGCAACATCTGAAAGAAATGCATTTGTCTAACAAAGGTACATATCAATTAATTATTAATTGTTAAATAATGAAGTCAAACTGCTAACAAATTCAGAGAAAAGCGTTTACCTATCTTTTGCATTAACATGGACGTAATCTGTTATTTTAATAATTACATAGTTAAGGTTATAGCCAACGGATTATTGCGATATTTAAGTTTTATCGAACATGTTTATTTAGCTTGCTAATAATTATCGAACGTGTTTATGAAGCTTGATAATAATTATCTGTAAATGCATATGATTATTGATTTTTTTTTAATGCACAAAATATCCACTCTAATGATAACGATAATTATACAGATGGCTTATCATTTTTCAGGAATAAAATTTTGCGATGCAAAAGTTTAATTTTGAGATCCTAAATTGGTGACGTTATGGAGCTGAAAGTATGGGTAGAAGGAATACAACGTATTGTATGTGGTGTTACAGAAACGACTACATGTCAGGTTAACAATGTTTTCTTTAAATATTACAATTATTTGGATGATGCAATTTTCACAACTTTAAACGCTAAATTCTACAGTGTAATAGAATTTAACTTTCAGGATGTAGTATATGCTCTTGCCCATGCAACGGGCCAAACAGGTAGATTTACTTTAATAGAAAGGTGGAGAACTAACGAACGTCTTTTAGCTCCATATGAAAATCCTTTAAAGGTATTAACACGTTTAATTTTCAAATAATAACTGATAATTTAATATAGAACTCACAATGATGTAATTTATCTTTCTAAGATTCTGATGAAATGGGGAGAATATTCTTCAGAAGTTCAGTTAATATTAAGACGTTCTACCCCAGAAAATAATAAGGCATCTAGTTCATTGGGATCTCGTTTAAATCATGGCACAAGATCAAATGGCCTGATGAGTTCAGAACATATCACAAGTAATAGTGGACAAGATGACACTAAGAATGCCCCAACCCCAAATTCTGAACTTGATGATTTACAAGGTTGTCTTGATAGAAATCGTGACATCAGAAAATCATTAACGTTTGGAGGATTACATGGACATGTTATGGAAAATAACACAGAAGTAAACAATATTTAAATTATACATTTTCACAGTTAATTCTCTCTGATATTTTATTATATTTTATATGTATATTCTAGATTCAAATGGAAAATGTTGCCATAGTTCAACCTACATTGCATTTAAAAAATAAGGAATTGAATATAAGAAAAAATATACAAAAACCAGCTCAGTCTCCTACCCGTGCTAGTAGCAGCGAAAGTAACACACATTTATCACAAAAGAAAGTGCGTGAAGTTCCCCCATATAGGGATCCTCCAGGTCCAGCTTCACCACCTTTAAGAACTTTACCCCCATACAGAGATCCTCCACCACCTAACTTAAATAGTCCTGGAAGATCACAGTTTCAATCTAATACAAATATTGGAAGTCCTCATGTACATAAAGAAGATCAACCATCTTCCAGTAATTCTGTCAAACTAAAGAGAAATCTTATTCAGGTTCTACAGACAAGATATTTTTTAAATATGAAATATATACACAAATAGCTAGAACAATATTTTCATGTAGATACAACATGATAATACAGTTATTGCAATTAATGCTCTTAATCTTTTTTGTATGTTTAGGAATTTCAAGATACAAAAGGACAAACTCAATCCATAAACCAATTATCTGGTCAAGCTCAGAATATGGTTACAGTTGCTTACACTCAACGCTATGTTGAACTTATTAGACTAGTCAATAAGCAACGTGATACTATTAATGCGCAGCAAGCAGATCTTACTAAAGTATGAATTTTATAATTTTGTATATTTAATCACACATGAAAAAGTTTTACAAATATATACATAAATATATATTTTATTATTTATCTATAGTTTGATGCTGAAATATTGTATTGGGAAACTAAAAATAGAGAACAAATGCATCAAATGGATTTTATTTCTCAGGAAGTAAATCGTATGGAAGCTACTGGACGTCTTATCGAAGAACAGGTATGTATTAATACTTCATGTTATAAAATATTTAAGTTTATAAAATACTTTGTATTAGTATCATAATTGTAACAATATTTATTGGTTTTACAGTTAAAAGAACTAGCACATGTTGAAGAAGAAAGTGAAATAGTTAGACAACAAGAAAAAACATTAAAGTCAGAAATTACTTTGCTGAGATCAAAACTTGCAAATTGTGAAACAGAATTACTTCAGTGTAAAAATAAAATCAGGTAAAATATTAGAAATATCGTTAAATTTTTTGATTTGTAGAAGGACAAAATTAATTATTTTCATTGCAGATTAGTTATGGAAGAACTTGCAATAGAACAGCATAATATAAGTCGTGAAACAGACGAAAGACAAATAATGGAACGTAAAATTATTACCGAAGTTGAGCATCTTCAAAATGAAGTAGAACAAGCTAAACGTTCTGCTGAATTAGCTTCTCAGTGTGCGGAAACATTAAAATTGGAAGTAGTAAGTTTAGAGTCAGCGATTGTTGAAAAAAAATTACAAGTAGAACGATTAGTAACAGATATGAAAGAAGCTAATTTACAAAGTCTTGCTGTTGCTTGTCAAGACGAACAAGTCAAATCATTATTTGAAGGTATTTGTATACTTAAATTCAAATATAGTTGAAAATGTTAATTAATTTATTCCATTCTCCATATAGGCACTCATAAACCTGGTAGTACGCGTAAAATGATAGGTTCGCCAAGACAATTGGAAACTGCGGTACCTACGAGTAAAAATCCACATGGTGTTTGGGTATAAACGTATATTATTCGATATACTTTGAGATATTGAACATAATATTTTTTATTTTTAATACAGTAAACGATTAAATATTTCGTATAGGATTACACGTGCAGTTTGCACTTCTAGTAGAATCAGTGTAAGTGAATAAGATATTTTACTTTCGTATTGTTCATGTATACACTAATTCTTCTTATCTATTGGCCATATAATTTTGAACAAGTTTAAGTAATAAGTATAAATCGTATTAATAGTCTTAAACATTATTTGTATATATCCAAGATAAAAAAATATTGGACAATACATTTATCCAAAGTATTACAATTATAAATCATGTGACCTGTTTGCATGATATAATTTAAGTAAACGTACTTATAAATTGTTACAAATTTCATGGAATTATTGTCTGACATAAGATTATATATTTTCTACAATCAAAATGATTCCGTAAATTAAAAGCATTTACATATTGGTGCACTTAAAATATTAATGTAGTACACACACGCATATTGTGTATCTTGTACATATCGTTGAAAGCATGTGATAACAAAGTCTGAAACATTCTATTCTACCTTCTGTTGAAGTATAATAATTTTTAAATATTTAAGAATTTATTGTTTAAATCTCATTCCATAACTGAGTTTATTCTATATATCAAGCAAACTTATTTTTCGTAAAAAATCTGATTGTATTTTGAAAATTTCATTTCATTTTGCAAAATTACAATCTGCGCTGATTATATATTTTATTATTATTGAATATCATCTTCACACTGCCATTATTAGTACTGATCTTTTAAGTATAATATTATGTATAAGTTTATTTCATATGTAATTTCATTTTTACAAAATCTACATACTCTTGTTGTATGTAATTATTTCATTGTCGATAATATTAATCTGTTTCTTTTATAATGTGTCTACCAAAGTGTGTTAATTTTTTATTAAAAACAAACATATATTGTATAATAAAATACACAAATAAAAATTAAAATTTAAATAAAAAATTAAAGTAATATTGTTATTGATATTTTAGTGTCATAAAAAAAATCACCTAATGTATATGAAAATGAAAATACAAATATAAATCAATCGGCATAACTATAGTAATAACTCACATTTCGCGCGCTTTTGAATTTATTACTTTGTAGGAATAGAAACACTGGCATCGTGAATCCTTATTTCAGAATTATATGCACGTAGATAAGTAAAAGAAAAAATTATTACTAAATGATATAAATGTTTGAAATGTAATTATTCTTGTAACATATTTAATTTACTACGTCAAATTAAGTAGTATTCAAAATAACAACAATTGTTTTGCACACTTCTCAAACAAATATGAGTCTCTGGGTGGATAAATATCGTCCAACATCACTTGGAAAGTTAGATTATCATAAAGAACAAGCGGAATATTTGAAAAACATGGTAATATTATTCTAAAATATAGTTAAATGAGTTATATAAATACTAAATTAGATAATAGGTTATATTGAAAGTATGGTTTTTGTTTCACTTGCAATGTCATTAAATATAAAAAAATTTCAATATTTGTATTGTGATTGTAGATACAAAAAGGAGATTTTCCACATTTATTAGTTTATGGACCATCAGGAGCAGGAAAAAAAACTCGTATAATGTGTATTATAAGAGAATTATATGGTTGTGGAATTGATAGATTGAGAATGGAAACTATGACATTTGAGGTAAGTTATATTTTTACATATTTAATTTAATTTTGAAAATAATAAATTTATGGTTTCAGACTCCTTCCAAGAAGAAACTAGAGATAACAACAATAAGTAGCAATTATCATATTGAAGTAAATCCAAGTGATGTTGGTATACACGATAGGGTAGTAGTAATGGACTTGGTAAAAACAACAGCACAAACTCATCAAATTGATCCAAGTGGGCAAAAAGAATTTAAAGGTAAATTCATTAAACATTATTTAATTCCTTTGCATTTATTAATAACAATAATTTTTTATTAGTGGTATTATTAACTAATGTGGATCAGCTTACAAAAGATGCACAACATGCTCTTCGAAGAACAATGGAGAAATATGTTGCTACATGTAGATTAATACTTTGCGCAAATTCAACATCACGCGTCTTGCCAGCCATTAGATCAAGGTGCTTAGGGATTAGAGTTCCAGCACCATCAATATCGGATATAAAGAATATTTTGCATTTAATTTGTAAACGTGAAGGTTTAACTTTGCCTGATGAACTGGCCAAAAGATTGGCTGAGACTAGTGGTAGAAATCTCAGACGAGCAATATTAATGCTCGAAGCTTGTAAAGTTGAACAGTAAGTATATTCATAGATTTGGTTTAAATTAATGCATTTAATTAAACCAATGTAGCAATTTATTCTTTTATTTTTAGATATCCATTTACTGCAAATCAAAATATTACAGAACCAGACTGGCAAGTATATATTCGTAATACAGCAAGTATGATGGTCAGCGAACAAAGTCCAAAAAAGCTTCTTGCAATAAGAAGCAGACTCTATGAATTATTGACGCACGCGATACCATGTGATTTAATATTTAAAGGTCTCTTACAAGAATGTATAAAAAATTGTGATCTTCAATTAAAAATTGAAATTGCGACAGTTGCGGCAGAATATGAACATAGAATGCATAAAGGATCAAAATCAATTTTCCATTTAGAAGCATTTGTTGCACGGTTTATGGCAATTTACAAAAAATTTATTGATTCATCTCTTGAAGGTTTTGTGTGACATATTCACATATTTGCTTATATTAAAATATAATTATTCAAATTTTTAAATAAATTCATACATTTGTAAATTGTGTTTTATATTTACCATTATAAATTAAATACTATTAGCGACTAATTTTGACTTTTTATAAATTTAATCCAATTTCCAAAATACAAGATGGAACACGTTGATCTAATAGTACAATTAATTTTCAATATAAATTATATCATACTAAGACAATACAATTATCTAAATTTATATTGCAGCAAGAGCAAGAGCAGAAATTCCTGATAATGCGGTTACTGCATAACCAGTGCTATACACTTCCTTAATTGTGAGGAACATTCCTAAATCCCAAGCCTGTAAACAAAATTTTATTAACAAAAAATATTAATTAAAAACAGTTATGTTAGTAAGCATATATAAATGTGCAAACAGTAAATTTTAAAAAAGTTTTATTACCAAGTGACGCAATCCATTGAATGTATGAAATGTAGCAGGAAAAGCAATTAAGGTTTTCCCCACGAAAAGAACAGGAGCTGACAAACCTAAATTTGTAATTATTTCTATAAGGCAAGGAATACCACCTGGTATAAGTAATGTTCCTGTAATTATAACAAAAATTATTTTACAGATTTCTATCTTTAGTTTTAGTTTATGAAAATGAATAATAATTTTTACCAAAACCAAGCAACATAGCATAAGTTGATAATATTATGCCTGTTGTACGATGTGAAACTGAAAGTAATGACGTTAATTGAACTTGGTAAATAGATAAATGTGGTGACATAGGTCTTTTAAGGCGCAGGTTTTTCTCATCGTGAGTTTCGCAAATTGTACTTCCCATGAAGAATGGTTTCGATACGGCGACATTTTTTGAGCTAAAAGATCATTTTAAATAATCAATTTATAAAAGCATAAATAACATCTAAATAAAGCAAAGATTACATATTATGTAATAAATTACCTCGAGGTATATAAATTCCGGAAAGTACAAGGATTGATGTTTCGCCGGCAAAGCAATCTAAACAAAATCAATTTTTGACATTAGTGTTATTAAATGCAACATATTTGTCAAAAAGTTAAGCGACAGTTTATTACCTCATATAACACAGCGCCATGTTTTTGTGACTGCATTCGTTATTCTAAATTCATATACATAATGTTATATGTGTATGGATCATTTATCTTTTTATAGTACTTTTTTTTTTCATTAATATATGCTTAAACAAAATTCAGTAATATAAATGATTCATTTAGATAAAAGCTAAAAAAAATTATCTTATACATACAACATATAATTTGTACGTGTCTTTTATATCCTTATTATCTTTTACTTTTTGTTGCTAAGTAAATTATTTTAAGGCAGACTAGAAGAATCAGTAGAAAATTTAGCTTCTTTTTTAGTACAATAAATGAAAATAATTTTTAAATCATTCTCTTGTACTTGAAAACAGGACTTTCATAGAGAATAAATTATACGTGTAGTATAGCTATCTCACAAATTGTAAGTTTGATACCGCTGTTTGATCTGAATCCCGGCTCGTGCCTTCCATTTTTCATTCGAAGTTCTTAAATGCATTTTTGTTCTTAAACAAAGTACAATATATTTGTTATAAATTGTTAATTTCTAAGTTGTCGTGGTAATATATAAACGTGATTTTAGTAAATAATATACTAAAATAAAATGAATGAGTTTAAATTGCCTAAAGCTCCTAATGGAATGGGAATTGCTGCTTCATGCCTTGCGGCAGTCGGCATGACGGGTTATGGTGTTTGGAAATCTATGTATACAGGTTTGGTTTACATAATTCATTAAACAAATTAATGTTTATTTATACATAAAATTTTATGAAAATCTAATTAAAAAAATTAAGTTAAATGAGTTAAATTTGTACTAATACGATTATATTATTTTAGTGGAAGCTGGTCACAGAGCAATCATATTCTCACGTTTGGGAGGAATTCAGCAAGATATTTTAACTGAAGGTCTACATTTTCGTGTTCCATGGTTTCATTGGCCAATTATTTATGATATTAGAAGTAGACCTAGAAAATTATCTTCACCTACTGGATCCAAAGATCTACAAATGGTCAATATTTCTCTTCGTGTGCTGTCTCGTCCTGATGCAACTCAATTACCTTTAATGTATCGTCATTTAGGTCTTGATTATGATGAAAAGGTTGAGCTAATTTCTATGTCACAATATTGAAATTTTAATAGGATTAACATTGAAATACGATTATTTGTGTTGTAGGTCTTACCAAGTATTTGTAATGAAGTATTAAAATCAGTTGTTGCAAAGTTTAATGCATCTCAGCTGATTACACAGAGGCAACAGGTGTCAAATTTAGTAAGAAAAGAATTAACTGAACGTGCTCGAGATTTTAATATTGTTTTAGATGATGTGTCAATAACTGAATTAAGTTTTGGTAAAGAATATACAGCTGCTGTAGAATCTAAACAAGTTGCTCAACAGGAGGCACAAAGAGCTGCATTTTTTGTAGAAAAAGCAAAACAAGAGAAACAACAAAAAATTGTTCAAGCAGAGGGTGAAGCAGAAGCTGCTAAAATGATATCCTTTAAAAAATATGATAATTATAGATAATTACAATTTTGTACATATATATCATCTTTTCTAATAGAAATATCCTTAACTTCAGTGTACCTTGGTTTAGCTCTTAGTCAAAATCCAGGTTACTTAAAATTACGAAAAATTCGGGCAGCACAAAACATTTCCCGCACGGTAATTATAGAAAAATTTTGTTGTCTACAACAAGCTATCGCAGACTTATGTAATAAACATAATTTTTGTTTTAGATTGCAAATTCTCCAAATCGTTTGTATCTAAGTGGTAATGGCTTGATGCTAAATATTCAAGACCCATCGTTTGATGATTCATCAGATAAATTGAAAAGTAAGAAATAAAGAGAACAAAAAACTTTTAATACGTATAATGTAACATAATTTTCAACGACATATGTGTAGATATCAAAAAAGATTGTTAATGAGAATCATTAGATGATTATAGATATAAAAATATCATTGCACCTATTCTTGTTATTTGTTTTTATGTCCTGTGGTAAGGTGATGCTCGCTCGCAAATCTCGAGCTCCTATTTTTTCAGGTGAAAAAAGGATGAGTTTGGGAAACTGGAATGATGCTATGCAAAGTGCTGTGAAAACTTTAAAATCTGAGCACCAAACACCAGTGAAAACCAATGAAAAACCGTTACTTAAAGATTCTCTACCAATATCTTCAGAAGAACAAGTATCAATTTTATTGGATTCTGCAGATGGTGGAGCAAAAATGATTGTTTCTTAAACATGAAGTTTTAATTTTATATTTTAAAAGAGATTGCGATGCGAGCTCATCTTGTCTAATATATTCCTTCTCCACAAATCTTGTTACTATCATAGAATAGATGAAATTATTTCAATTTTACATTAAAAGAATTCACAAGAATATTTTAATAATCTTTTAACAAAACATTATTCTAAATTATAAGTAAATAAAATTAATTTACAATTTGTTCTATTATCCTTTTTTTGGCCTTAAAATGCAAATCATTTAATTGAATAATGATTGTTTAAAAAGATTTAATAGCATAAATTTTTTAATTAAAATATATGAAGATTTCTGTAATATATGTATTAAAATTAGTATATAATATCTATATTTTTATATAGTTAAAATTTAGTGAAAAAGAAGATAGTACATTTCAAAACGCAGTTGGAGTTGCATATTATACTTCCGGCAAATATTATAAATGATAGCTAATGTAGATAACCTCTATTGCCATCAGTTGCGTGCATTGCCATTAGTTGTGTGCATTGCCATCAGTTGTGCGTGCTTTTAGGTTTGAATAAACTAAAGGTCTGTATTTTTAAATTAATAAAATTGCAGATTTTAAGTAATTAAAGATAATCTTTATTTTCACGAATTCTTTATACATTTTTCTCTTTATATAATACATTTAAGTTTCATTAAACTTGCATTCTGTTACATCATATTTCTAGATGAAAGAAGATAAATCTGCAAATTCAGCCACAGAAGGGTAAGATGAATCGTAATTTTTAAAAAATAATTGTTAGAAAATTATATTTTTATATTGCTTTCTTTTTTTAAGTGACGAGCTTTCTAAGAAGGCTCTTAAAAAACAGCAAAAAGAAGCAGAAAAAGCAGCAAAGAAAGCTGAACGTAAAGCTCAAAATGTACACAGTTTTTATATATTTTAATAAAAGAAATTATTTTGTAAAATTTGGTATCCAGATTTTTAATGGGATATCTTTGAATTATATTTATTATGTAGCAAGCACAACAAGATAAGGCTCAGGAAGAGGATGTATCAATTGGAAAGTATGGAGATACAGGACTAATACAAAGTAAAGATAAACATACAGAAAGAAAATTTACTGATATTAAAAATTTAAATCCAAGCTTAAAAGATCAGACTGTATGGATAAGAGGGCGTTTACATACTAGTCGTGCTAAAGGTATCTCACTTAAACATAAAATATTGTATATAATCATTGTAGCAATTGTTGTTAATATGTAGAGTGTCAAGCTAAACTTCTTTTTTTATAGGTAAACAATGTTTTATTGTTTTAAGACAGCAGTCTTACACAGTACAAGGTTTAGTTGCAGTCAGTGAAAAAGTCAGCAAACAAATGATTAAGTTCTTATCCAAGTAAGTGCTATAGATGAGTTAATAAATTAATGTTACTTCATATTTCACAAAGTTATTTTATAGCATTACCAAAGAATCTATTGTGGATATTGAAGCAATTGTAAAATGTGTTCCTTCTCAAATTGAGTCATGTACTCAAAAAGATGTTGAAGTTCATGTTGAAAAAGTTTTTGTAATAAGTGCTGCAAAACCACAATTACCTTTACAAATTGAAGATGCCTCAAGACCTGTAGGAGAAGCTGATGAAAATGCTTTGAACATAAAAGTGAATCAGGATACTAGATTGGATAACAGAGTCTTAGATTTAAGGACTCCAGCCAATCAGGCTATATATAGGGTTGAAGCAGCTATTTGTAAATTATTTAGAGATATACTTACAAGTAAAGTAAGTTACCAATATAATAATAAATTTCACACAATTGTAAACTGTATATATAATTTTATTCATAAATATTTGTCTATAGGGATTCGTTGAAATTCATACACCAAAAATTATATCTGCTGCAAGTGAAGGTGGTGCAAATGTATTTACAGTATCGTATTTTAAAGGAAATGCTTATTTGGCACAGTCTCCACAACTTTATAAACAAATGGCGATAGCTGCTGATTTTGATAAAGTTTTTACCGTAGGGGCAGGTGATTTTTAATCTAAAAATTGTCATTATTTCTTTTAGTTTTCTGGAAAGATATTATTACATATGATAATTGTTTAGTTTTTAGAGCCGAAGATTCTAATACTCATAGACATTTGACAGAATTTGTCGGCCTTGATTTAGAAATGGCATTTAAATATCATTATCATGAAGTGGTAGATACTATTGGACAGCTATTTGTAAAGATGTTCAAAGGTCTTCGCGACAAGTTAGTCGAATTTATTAAAAAATGTAAAAAGTTTTCTTCCTAATTGTATAATATTAATTTCATATTTAATTTCAGTTATGCTGCCGAAATCGAAGCAGTACGTCAGCAGTATAACGTAGAACCTTTTAAGTTTTTAGATCCGCCATTAAAATTAGAATTTAAGGATGCTATTGAATTACTGGCGGAAGCTGGTATAACTTTGGGCGAAGAAGACGATTTATCTACACCAGATGAAAAATTATTGGGCAAACTGGTTAAAGCAAAAGTGGGTTTTTCTTTAAAATTTTATTTTCTCTAAAATATTAAGCAGATATAAATCTATTTTTATTAATATTGTTTCATTTTTAGTATGATACAGATTTTTACATTCTGGATAAGTATCCATTAGCAGTAAGACCATTTTATACAATGCCGGATCCAAATAATCCCGTAAGTTTTATTCTTACTATAATGTTAACAACATATTAAATATTGCATATTTATTATAGAAAGTATCAAATTCTTACGACATGTTTATGCGCGGCGAAGAGATAATTTCCGGCGCACAACGTATTCACGATCCCGAACTTCTTACAGAACGTGCAAAACATCACGGAATTGGTAGGTATTTTATATTTGTATTTTATATGTTTTCGGTGATAATGTTACATAATCTTTTAAATTATAGACTTAGAAAAAATAAAATCATATATTGATGCATTTAAATACGGTTGTCCTCCTCATGCTGGTGGTGGTATTGGAATGGAACGTGTTGTTATGTTGTATCTTGGTTTAGACAACATTAGGAAAGTTTCAATGTTCCCTCGTGATCCAAAGCGCATCACGCCATAAAATTTCAGCTTTAAATTAATTCCTATATATGTACATGTATGTACTTACATATGTTATGTATAACTAATGTAATTATACAATATTGAAAATTGAAATTTATTATTGAAAAAATCAATAAATGAACTTTTTGATTACGATTTTAATTAATTAAAATGTTTGTATGGTATATATTTATTATGATACATACATATTTATACATAAATTGTTGTAATAATAAAAAAAAGAATATCGCAGCCTTCACAAAATGCTATAATGATATGGTGCCGAGAACTAAACGATAATTAGTTATCTTTTTTAAAGCCGTTTTGTCTTTTTATTTATTTATTTTTTTTTTAATAAACCGCCTCTGAATGTATATATTCGTAGATGTCGTTACATGTTACATAGAATGTGACGAACAGTATTCTTTCACATTTCGACCACATGTCGGGACAGAAATTGATCATAATGCAATAAAAGTTCTATATCAAAAGTTTTGTCTCAAATCTCGATAAATAGAATGAGGCAATAATATTCAAAACGTTTATTTATGTTAAATAAGTATTATTGAAGTTCATGAAGAAACGGTGCGATTAGCGTTGCGAGGTAGAATTACAGTATCACTACGTGAGCTGACGAAGTGTCTTCAAATACAAACAAGTTAAAATTTATATTAACAAAAATTAAAGTAATAGCTTATAATTAAAAGAAAAATGGCAGCAAATAAATTATTAATTATGAACGGCTTCAAAGAAGATTGCGAACAATTAATTGCTCGTTTTGAACGTGCAGATAACATTAGATTTGATACTTTTTGTGAAATTTGGAAAGCGATGAAATTTTCATTAGTTTTTGCGTAAGTTAAGATGAAGTTTTTTTAAATTTAATGGTTACACTCATTTTCCTTACAGTATTTATTTTAAGTTTTTTATATTTATGAGTCCATAATTTTGGAAAAAATAATATAACAAATTATTCTTTTCTTTTTGTATTTCTAGGGGTCGTCCAAACTTTCTGGAACTATTAGAATTTTGTGAAGAAGCATTGCATATATGTAAACAATTCGTTCTTTTACCACCTCGTTTTAAAGAACGTATTGGAGGATTGTATCTTTTGTATGGAATATATTTCAAAATGCCAGTAGATCAATTTAAAATTAGGCTTAAACTCGATGATTGGAAAAATATTCTGGAACTTCATACAGAAATAAAAGAAGGAGAACATTTAGATGCTAATTATATATTATGTAAATTAATTGCTAGTAATGCATTTCATTTTTGTATTTTTGATTCAGAGGTATATTTGACAAACTCTTTTAAATTGCGTTTATATGTTACATATATTGTATTTGATTTTATCTTTCTAGTACGGTATGGAAAAACCATATACAGTGAAGAATACACAGTATTTTAATTCGTATTCTATATTACCATCATTGAGAAATTTAAGTGAAAAAAACCAACTGTTGTCAAAAATTGATGAACTTAGTAAAGCTTACGAACAAAAAAAAGAAGACTCAAAACTAATAAATCCATTAGATACTAGTTTAAAATTATTTAATTCAAATATTGCACAGGAAATTATTAATGATATTCAAGAATTTGAAGAACAAAGAAGAAATAAACAAAAAAGTATAACTGATTTTGAAAAGCCTTCTTCTTCAAAGGAACAATCTTTGAAGGAACATAAAAAATTTCATTTGTATGTATAAATAATACATTCATTGCATATTTGTAAGATTTTCTATTATTTTATACTTTATTCTTTTAGAAAAGAGACTTTGAAACGCAAAATAAGAGCATTGGTTGATGATATTGAACATGAAAATGAATCTGAAGAAGAAGATGAAATTTTAGAGAGTAATTAAAAGATTTTGAGTGATGAAAAAAATTCAATTGACAATAAAAGAAAAAAAAAGGATAAGAAGCATACACCTTTCATGTGTAAGTGCATTATCTTATAATGGTATATTATTTATATGTTTATAATTTATGTAAAAATCGTAATGATATTTGTTAAATTGGTTTTTTATTGGGAAGTGTACAAATAAGTGTAAAGAACAAGTCAGTGGAAATATTAATCATTCTAAATTTAAAGAAAACTTTTTATAGAATACATTGTACTCTATCTTGTAACTATTATGCACAGACTTTAAGTAAAGACAATTCAATTAAATGGCTAAACACATCTTTAAAGTGGATTAAATTTCTAAACTTAAAAACTGAGTAAGATGTATCATAGATTTCACAAAGCAGTTATTTTATCAGAGACTAATTTTTAAAGATGTAACTTTTCATTTTTATGTAGCTTTATGTATATTTACGGCATTAAAATTAAATCTATATACTGAATGTAAATGATATTATTGCCGCTAATAAACATTTATAAAGCTTGCGGTAATAACGATTCATGTCAAATTTTCTTAATAAACTTTCAATTGATTGTTGTCATCAAATCCAGCACTGTGACCCGCGTTTCGTACAATAAAACTAGTTCCATCATAATGCATACGTCGCTCACCACGACGCACGAAAAGATGAGAAGTCTGTCCAAGAGATGCAGTACAATGTAAAAATGGTGTCGTTAACGAAGCTGTCCCATTACTGGGTGATGTTCGTAATTGATATTTGTTACTATTTCGTGCAATCCTAATAAAAAAGAAATTTATATCCTTACTGATTGATATCCGATTATATAAAAATCTTTTTATTTTTCTCAATATTTTTTTTTAATTAAAATTACCTGACAAGGCCATCAGGCGTTTGTGAAACTCTAACATTGTTAATGATCCAATTTTCTACACCTTCGTTAGTTAACCAGTATTGAGCAGCACTTAAAGCTGCTGTAGCTTCTTGCAAGCATGCTGGACCATGCCGAGAACGAGAGTAAAAAACACTAAGAGAAAAGTCCTAGAAATTAAACATTTTCTTTTAGTACAGTTAATTTTGATTTATGCGACAATATTTGCATACCTGACCCATATCTGAAAATGAATCCGTGGTCGTTCTTGTTCCCGCCGTATCAACTAAATAAACTAGAGCGCACTGTTCTGAAGTGAAGCTCACCCCCTTATACCACATCTTTGCGTATCTGATGAAGGATAATAATACTTGTTAATGGTACTTTAACGATGTTACAGATACCACTGACTTGTTATTGCCGTGGGCGTCATGAGCCAAGATCTCAACTCGTGATCCATACTGATATATTCTTCCGTTTGGATGAAGTAATGCCGCAGCCGCTCCAGAACCGCTCAACGATAGTACAATATTATTCTACGCTGACGATAAATGCAATTCAGATAATAATCATGTGAGCATTAGAAATTAGTTTCCATTCGTTTCCATATAATGAACTTATGTTATTATATTGTTTTTCAACACGGACTATTACAATCATGGAAATAGGAATTTTGTTGAAATTTGTATAAAGTAGAAAAAAGGAAGATACCTTAAAATTAATTACTCTAACTGCACGATCGATGGTCATGTCAACCCGAATTCTGTTGTGAAGTCTCAATGAAATTGTACCATGCGGTGTAGCTACGATAGCAGCATCAGTGTCGTGTTCCCTCCAGTTTTCTGTATAGATACATGTCTCTTCGAAGTATGGCGCAATGGTTTTAGAATTTCGAGGCTGTCGCCAAAGTGCTGTTGAATTAGAAAATGCGGTTGCACCGGCTAATCCACCCCACTGCTCTGACGGTGGTGCTTCAAAATACTTGGGAAACTCACTATATCGCTAAAGGATGACAAATTGCTTTAAACAATGAAAAATGATTTACCTTTTATGATTAATAATCACGATAATCATTACGTAAAGTACCTGAAAATTAGTATCATCTGTTTGTGCGTGATAACTGTGTGCCGTATAGACAGATCTAGGTCGCATCGGTGCCGTTGAGGTAGTTTGACTTTGAATTGTCGGTATAGAACATGGTTGCTGATTCACTACTTGTGTCCCAGCTTGGATATTACACTTTTGGATCTCCTTTCGATATTCGCCGCAAGGAGTTGTCATAGCTTTTGCCTTCAATTAATATAATACAATAAAAATCACATATTCGTCAAGTATCGGCCTTTTAAAGAAAAAAGAGAAAAAAAAACAGATATTCTTCGATTTTACTAATGACTTTTATATGATAATAAGAAAAATATCCTATGGTGTTAAAAGAAATTAGCGGGAATGGAAATCGATTAACAAACACATAAATAACAAGTTAAAAGAGTATTATAAAAAAAGACCTTGGAATTGGCTGTAGCGTTTTTTGATTTCTTGCGACGGGATTTCCGGGGTTTCGACACCGCCGTTTGACCACCCTCGTTTATGCGATCCACGGCTGAAGCGATTTTCGTATCTACAGGTCCAGGTTCTTTTAGTAAAATCACGTCTTCAGCGTTTTCTGACGTTCTTTGACCTTACGAAGACGCTTGCATACGTAACTTTGATCTCAAAGGTTTCTACTTAGCGATCAAGAATTTTTAGATCGCGTTGAGAGAAATCAATCCTCATAGATACCCATCAAAACTTGTTCAGAGGATAACGCGGTTGGAAGATATTTCGGTAAAATAAATGAATATTTTGGTTGATCGTTGCCTTGACACTAAAAAATAACAAGAGACTGATAGTAGACAAATTCTGTTAAAATGAAAGTAGGCTTTTCATATTCACATATCTTTCTTGTAACATTTATCATATCTTCGCGTTAATATATTCTTCATTTTCTTACATACATATAATACATATATATATATATATATATATATATATACGTTATGAGGAAAAATATTTCAGAATTATATATATATATATAGTACTTCGATCGGTACTTATTTCATAGTAAGTAAATCGTTTTATCTTCTTAGTAAACTTCGAGTTTTTATTTCCTTTAAAATTGCATTTGAAATTTGAGGAAATACAATGTGATTAATCTTTTTGTTTCTTTTTCTGAACATTAACATTTCTTAAAATCATTTTTTATTACGTTCGTGAAATTCTAACGCTGAGAAATAATTACTACGATGAAGGTCACTATTACTAATCAAGAATTATATAAGTATTTGTATTAGGTATAGACAATACTATTACGTATTCTAATTGCGTTTTTTCCTAATATATTTGATAATGGTATCTTTTTTACGCAAATTTTTCCTTGTGTTACACCATTATCATATTTTCATTTTATGCGGGTCAATGTCGGAACCGGTTTAAGAAATCAGTTTGTTTTTGATGCGTGTATTCAACAAGATCAAATTCGAAGATCCCGGAAACTGCACTTTTTACTTTCATAATTCGATGCAATTTATACAACAGATTAATACATTTTAACATGTTCTAATCTCGTGCCATTCACTTTTAAGGATAACTAATATTATAATGCATTTTTGTTACTGCGTAACATAAAATTCAAGAATAGATTTAAGGATAATAGAAATTATTGCAAGTCAATGTGTTTATTGCATAACAACGTAATCGTTGTTTCCTTTATACTTCCAAATGCATATGTACATATATTACTCGTATAAAATTCAGACAAGATTAAAAATTCGTTGATCAAACTTCATTAAATTAAACTAATGAAAGTGATATTTTGAATTTGCAATTTTATCAAAAACATCTGGCTTATTAAAAAAGATAATTTTAGGATATTTTTTTTTAGCATGTTACTAATGTATTTCTTTTTTCTTTTTTAGGTGTTACAAAGCGGCAGCTATACGCAAAATGTGTGAAGCACGTGCAAGAAATACTTCATATTTATGTAGTGCAGTCAACAATAAAACAATTGTTGAGTACTTGAGTATACAGCACATACTTATTACAAATAACATTATATTGTATAATACCGCTTTTCACATGGTGGGGACATAGAGTTTATCTGCTGGCATTTCTTAAGACTTCAGTAGTCGCTCATTCTATCCGCGTAATACTTCGAGGAGGTTCAGTTGTTAATAAAAACCGCGAGAAAAAAAGTTTTTAACGATAATGTTTGTTTTTAAACATTCTCTTTTCCTGAGTGTTATATGCTTAACTTTGGGTAATCTTCTTTTTTTTTTTTTTTTTTTTTTTTTTTTTTTTTTGTTATACTTCTTAAATCCTCAAATATTGTGTATTAAATTGTGAAAGAGAAAGTGTAAAAAATATTGTAACTTATTGATACCTCTGTAATTGTGACTATTTCTAATACTTGAATATTTAATTTTAGTATGTTCTTGAAATAATAATGTAATGTATCTTACCTTTTAGAATGTCCCACACTAGTTAAGAATGTTAAGATAAGTAATGATGAAGATAATAAAAAAATTGAAGATGATACTCTTCAACTAGTAACAGTGGTAAATATGAAAAATATCGAATGCAAAAAAAGAAATCTTTGATACTATCGCATTCCTTTTTTTTTTCCATACTTAAGTTAGATCTACTTGGATTAATGTTATCACATGATCCATAAAAGAGATAAACTCTCTAATTATGGCAATAAACTTTTAGGTAATGAGGCATGGAGACAGAGCACCACAGGACACTTATCCAAACGATCCTTATGTTAATAATTCCATGGAACCTTATGGTTGGGGTCAATTAACAAATGTAATGTTTTATATTATTTTTGTTACTATATCAGGATTTTCATTATCTATATAAGTAATCCTGTGTAGGAAGGAAGAAGGAATCAATACAATCAAGGTCTTTTCCTACGGGAACGATACAACAATTTTTTGGGTTCAATTTATAGTCCTAATATATTTTATTTGCAATCTACCGCTCTCGATCGTACAAAAATGTCTGCTATGCTAGAAGCAGCAGCTTTATGGAAACCAACTGAGAAACAGTCCTTTAAACGTGATTTAGCTTGGCAACCTGTTACTCTATTCTATCAACCATATTCAGAAGATACGGTATAAATCTTATTTTACGTTATGATGATTTCAATTTGTATTTTATGAAACTGATATTTAAATATTTTTATATTTCCAGTTGATGACAATATGGGATGCATGTCCAAAATATACTAAATTACGACATGCAGTTATGAACTTATCGCAAGTTCAACAAATTCAAGACAAGAATAAACATCTTTACGAAGAATTGACGAATTTAACGGGTATGATGATTTCAACTCCAGGTGATGTGAATTCGCTTTATGCAACTTTAACAGCAGAAGTTTGTATCAAATGATTAAAAACGTCATGTATTATAGAAATTTTATTAATATTGCAAATTGATTATTTTAGAAATGTATGAACTTAACTCTTCCTGAGTGGACGAAACATTATTATCCTGATAAATTAATACCACTTACATTGTACGATTTTCAACTTAATGGATATAATGATGAGTTTAAAAGACTTAAAGGAGGACCTTTTCTAAAAAAGATTGTTACAGATATGATAACAAAAAAAGATAATACTTTAAAACCTGAAGAAAGGAAAATGTTTATGTATATTGGTCATGACAGTACTATTGTAACTTTGATGGATGTTATGCATATATGGAACAATCAAATGCCATATTATAATATTATGATAATGATTGAATTACATGAGAAAAATGACGAATGGACTGTTCAGGTAAACTATAAATTAAAAAATTCAAATGTAAAAATTATTTTTATTATTGTTTTATATTTTGTTCTTCTCAGATGTTCTTAAGAAATACCACTGAACACGATCCATATCCTTTGACTGTTCCTGGATGTTCAACAATATGTTCTCTTGAAAAGTTTGTACAAATTTTAAAACCAATGATTCCAGATAACTGGGATGAGGAATGTAAAGTTGATGGAGACTATATACTTCCACCTGCTCCTCTTCTTTAATTATAATTATTCGGTAAAACTGAATGCGATAAAAGTATTGTTTCAATTATTAGCTAATGATAATAAAAATTCATTTAAGAATATTTTTTTAATTTTAACCCTGAAATGTATGAATAGTTTTTTAATTTGCATAAATTAATTTATAATAATAAGTAAATATTATTTTTGTAAAATGTATTTATGTATATTTTAAGTATGTACTTTATTACATGTCATATTACTTTCTGTATATTCTATTTATTTGCTATAAAAATATGTATATATAAGAAATAAACGTATATGATAGTTTTAAACAAATGCTTGTAAATAGATTTTTGTTTGTTTCTAGGCGAATATTTTCTCCTCCCGACGTTTTTTCGTAACCACTGTGCCAGGTTTGTGTTGAGCATCTGGATGATTTAGTAATTCAGGTGGACAGGTAGATATAGGGCTTGCAAGAATAGTCTGCTTCAAATCATAGAACAGATGACTGTCATCTTTGGTACAAAATGAAATAGCAAGACCAGCTTTTCCAGCACGTCCAGTTCTTCCAATACGATGTGTGTAATCTAAAAACAGGTGAGAAACAGCATATATTCATATAATATATAATTTTAATATAATTCATAATATATATGTATAATTAATATATAATTAATATATAATTTTAACAAAGTACACTTACCTTCTATAGTCTTAGCCATATCATAATTAATGACCATAGATACATCTTTAATATCGATTCCACGACCTGCTACATCAGTGGCAACCAAAATGTCTTTACTACCACTTTTCAGAGAAGCAAGTGCGTACTCTCTTTGTTCTTGTCCTTTACCACCATGAAGAGTACAAGCATTATACTGAAAATGAAATAAAATGTTGCATTAAAAACGCTTCGCAATACAAATAAAATTTGTGTTCTCGTTGGATTTAAGACAATATAAGATAATTAAAATTCAAACATACGCCTAGTTTTTCTAAACCTCTTGCAAGAACATCAGCTCCCTTCTTTTGATTAACGAATATAATAACTGGTGGTTCAACTCCTCTGCTAAGTATTTCCATTAATTTCTTACGCTTATCAGCTTCACCCATTATATGTACAATTTGTTCTGTTCTCTCTGTTGGTTTTCCTACGCTGCCGATATACACAACAGCTGGTCGTCTTAAATAAGTTCTGGCTAGTCGTTCTACCGCAGGTGGCATAGTTGCAGTAAACATTACAGTCTGAAAGAATAAGAAATATTCTTCATTATTTATTATTTAGCAGTTCAAAACAGTATGAACACAGTATCAAATATTATTTTTTTACTTGTCTATATTTTTTCTTTGTATTATAATTAGCTAAAAGTTTTTCTTCATTTTCGGCGTCTTCATTATCTGGTTTTAAGTTTGTAACCGGCATGTATTCCAAAATTTTTTGGACATCTGAAATTCGTATGGTAATTAGTATTTAGTTATACACGACTCAGTACTGTAAAGAACATACCTGGTTCAAAACCCATGTCTATCATTCTATCAGCTTCGTCCAGTACAATGTAAGTACATTGATTTAAAACCAAGTATCGATTTTCTAATACATCAATTAATCGTCCTGGTGTGGCTATAACGATCTATAATGACAAAAGTTAATTTAAAATTTAGAAAATCATAAATATTCTTTTATGTCATATAAAGTACCTCACAACCCATTCTCAATCTAAATCCCTGTTCTTCTCTTGAGAGACCTCCTACAACTACAACCGTCCTTATACCTAATGGTTGTCCGAATTTATTAGTCTCTTCTTCAATTTGTTGAGCCAACTCACTGAAAAAATTTATGTTATCAGTAAATTAAATTTAAATTTAAGGTAAAGAATGTGATTAATAAACGTACCGAGTTGGCGCTAAAATTATACTATAAGGACCTTGATCTGCTTCTTCTAATCTTTCAATTTTTGGTAAACTAGTAATCCATAACAGCAATGGAATTAAAAATGCTAGAGTTTTTCCAGATCCAGTTTCAGCAACTCCAATAATATCACGATTTTGAAGTCCTATGGGAATAGCTTGTCTCTGAATAGGTGTTAAATCTTTATATCCAACTTTATCAATGATATCAAGAATTTCTTTTGGAAATCCTGATTCTTTCCATGATCTAATTGGATCAGGTATACGTCCTCCTTTTATTGTGATATTATAATCCTCTCTAAATATACGCCAATCTCTTTCTGTCATTTCATGAAGAGCTTTCTCTGACCAATGTCTGTCATCCCATTTTTGTTTCTCCTCTTTTCTTTTTACCTTCTTTAGTCGCATTCTAGAAAAAAAATGTATAAATAATTGTATATTTCTATATTAATAAATTTTAATTTTAGAGAAAAGTACATACTTTTCCTGTTCTTTCTCAGCTTCTGTTCTTCTCTTTTCTAGCAATTCTCCATAAAATTTACTTTGATCTCGTTTCTGTGCTTTAATGTCTATTCCAGCAAGATTCCCTCTACCAAAGAATTGTACCTGATGTCTTTCCTTGTATATGCTATTATAGTCAACAGAGGTGTCTTCTGAAGTATCCCAATCAAATACAAATTTTCTGTCATTTAATCTTCGAACACGTCGTTTCTTCTTCACTAATCCTAAATAACGTTCTTTAATAGCTTCTACTTCTTTTTCCTTGTCCTTATCCTTAATTTCATCCTCTCTTGTGCGCTGATTATCTCTACGTCTGTTTCAAAGATTATTATAATGTACATCGTTATTTCATGAATTTAATTTAGACAAGTAAACGTTATAAATACCTATCTCTATCATCCCACTCTCTGTCTTTCCCAGTATTTTCACTATGCAAAGATTTACGTAAGTCCTCCTGTTGCTTTCTCATTGCTTCAACTTCCTCTTGTCGCTTTTGTATGGCTAAAGCAGCACGTTCTTCTTTAGTTAGAAATTTTGGTTTAGCACGTGCTTCTTCTTCTGCCTTTTTCTTAGCCAGTAATTCTTCTAAACTTAATGGTTCTTTCTTTGGAGGAGGCTTTGGTTTGTCCTCAACTTCCTCCTCCTCTTTCTTTGGCTCAGTTTTATTCTCCTTTTTATTTTCATCTTCTATAACAAATATAGGACTTGGTTTACGCTTTTTCTCATCCTTTGATTTGTCTTTAAACTCGCGTCTCTCCCTCGATCTGTCTCTATCCTTTTCACGTGATCTGTCCCTTTCCCTTGATCTTTCACGCGATCTTGAACGTTTTCTGTCCTTTTTCCGATCCTTCGATCTGCTTCTTGATCGTCTTCTATCTCGTCGTTCCCGTTCCCTTTCACGTTCACGATCTCGTTCACGCGATCGACTTCGCCTTACGGTTTTCTTATCGTGAGCCATTAAGAATTCTGCAAATGAATTTACTTAATTATGCTTGAATTAATTATCCGAAAGCATTAATCATTAATATATTTCTTTGGGAGGTTATACAAACAAAACCGTAAATATTCATTATCTCTTCGATGATACACAGATAACAGAATAGATATTACATGTTATTATATTAATAATTACTTTCTACAACAACATTACTTATAAATATTTATAACAAACATATAACATTTGGATTATATCTTGTCAAATGTCACAATGAAGTATATGATATAATCGTCAAGTATATTTTTAAAATTAGAAAATACTGATATCGAAAACAGAATTTTTCTACTAAAAATGAAATATAATAACCTTTTCCTTTGAATCAAGTAAAAACTTGAAAATAAAAATTACACTTGTACACAATCATATACAATTTACAAGTGTTACAACTATGGTTAACTTTTCAATGCAAGCGACGTGATTCTGCAGTTCCCATGTAACAAAATAGCAATCATTGATCTATATAATTTTTTATCTAATATAAACAATTCTTGATACAATAAATACAAAGTATATTATATTTAAATGGCGGAAATGATTATTTTATTGAATTGAAGCGATTGCACAATCTGTTGCAAATCTGTATTATTTGGAATATAAAAAACCGTAATGGTACATTTAAAAAGGATAAATATAAATAAAAAAATTTATTTTTCAAATTTATTTCAAATATTTCCTTTAACTGTAATAATTATTTTTATATAATCATACGTGGTTTCGAATAATTCATATTAAGATATTATCGTGAAAGAGAGATGTTCCTAAAATTATCATGAAATTATTTTACTCAAGTTTAAATATAAAGATTTATCAAAAATTTATTTTTGCCTTAGTATAAAATTATTGAGAATATTCTGCAATAAAATGTATTGAATTTTTGCCGCCAGTTGTGATCGGGATGCTTTGTAACGATTGGGCAGTGTGATGCGGAATTTGGGCCAATAGAAGCGAAGCATCGAGCGAGCCACGGGAAGGCTCAATAAAGGGCGCTAGTGTCCGTCAAGTGTCACAGCCGTTGCTTGTCTCCTCAGTATTGTAATTTAAATCGGTGATTTAATTAGGAGTAACGTATTTTTTTTCTAGAATTTGTGAAACATTAAGCAATAATGACCGACAAGAAAGGTAATTATACATCATAATCGTGTAATGCGATTAGTAATATGTGTTATACACATTAAGAGTATCTCGTGTTTTCAAGTCGAGAATACCACTTGTCACTCGTACGACGGCGAATTTTTTTATGTTAGCAATGCTATCCGACACCTGTGAAGAACGGTGCACGTTCAAATTCGATCGGAATTCATACCATTATTACAGATATGAAGCCTCGTCTCAATGCGACGAGAGAATCTTGAATTTCTGCCCAGTGACAGATAAATCAATACCGCATTGTGTGTGGGAAATACAAAATGGCTTCCAGAGTTCGTCTTGAATAATTTTCGCGATGACTCTTTATTAAAAATCGTATACTATCTAAAACAATGTAACTTTATCAAATATTATCGGTATTATTAATTTCATGTCATACACAGCTTTATTTCGTGTGTTATATTTTATTAGCTGTGTATATTCGAGAATGTGTTTTGTATGTATCTCGAATAATGTACGCTTTATGCGTTCAAGAAAAATTTGATCGAGCTCAAAAAAAAAAAAGAAAAAAACCATTGTCGTTGAGTTTTATTGGGCACAATTATTTTTTACTGACAATAAAAGTTTCAAATTCTGAATGAAAGAATATTTTTCTTTTTGCATCTAAAAAATATTTTTTATATTTGACAAAAAGTGTTAAAATCTTTTATTGAAAATATATACTTTAATATTTGAAACTTAAAATTATTAATAACACTATCATGATAAAAAATTTTTTTATCAGTACATGTTTGTATTAATATTGCAATTTTTCCTTAAGTAATTTGGTTTCAGTTAATATACCAAAAGAAGAAAAGATAGAAAATAAGTGTAATACTGTAGATAATTTCTGGAAGCCATTTTTCCTTTTTATTTTATTTTGTAGCGCTTCTAGATATATAAAGAATAATAGTGGATAATTTTGTTCAAATGCAATCATATTATTTTTCTAATTTATACACGAATAATATCATTTTAATGAATTAAGATTTTTATATCCTAAAAAGCATTTTATTTAAGAGTCATCAAACGTTAATTTCAAATTATAATTTTTTCACATTTATGAGGTGTTTTAATTTCAATGAATTCATCATGAAATAGATATTGTAGAGGAGTGTTTGAAGTTACCTCTTTTTTTGTAATTTCCAAAAATGTATCAGTATATACATATATATACACATATATAATACATACATACATACATACATATATATATATGTATGTAGATTATGTATAACATTCAGTAGAAGCTTTTATAAAGAAGCTGTTTAATAACTCGTACGAGTGAGGTATGTAATTTTAATATACTATTGACTTTTCGAGTTTTTTTTTTACGTACTGATGGAAATATTTGATTGACGTACAGCTTGGACCATGACTACATGATTTTATAGTAATCTACTATTGTACTTAATTAACAGCTCAGACACTTATGTGATTATTCCTAATTCAGTCCGCTCTGTTCCTAAGGCAAATGTATGATTACAGAGCAATAGCGTTTAAGGGATGTGTAAAAGTTTAGTCTGTAAGTAGATCAGTATTACATTGTTAATGATTACGACGAGAAGTATGAGAAATTGTGGATTATACTGGTGCAAATCTGCGAGCATATTACCGTGACGGTATAGCCGCTAAAAAACCGAAGGATAGCGCCTACAGTTGTGGCTGTCAATATGTTTGCAGCGGACCATTACAAAGACGATTTGATCCCAGTCAGTAGGTGGAGCTTCGGAGACCGGCGTTCGCGCAGCCTAAGCCACGTATCTAACCTCACCTTACTCTATATATTACCTAACTCACTACGTGTTTATATACCAACATATATTACGTATACACATACACATATACCATACATACATACACACAGATACACACACGTACACACATTATATATATATATATATATATATTCTAAAAAATATATATATGAAGATATAGAGGCACCGTGCGCCTCCTGATTCAAAAAGTGAAGAAAAAACGAAAAAAGAGAACTGTCGAACATCGAATCTCCCATATTTTCCCGCCTTCGATGTTTCAAGCGATCAAATTTCGTCTCCAGACCTCTTCTCTTCCAGTATTCCAATTGTCATTAATTCTCATTAGCTGACCGTAATACCAAGAGATCGTGGAGTGCCTGGTTTGTAAAAGAAATCATTGAAAAAGCATATTACAAATATGAGAAAATCGTGGGAACGCCGCGTAAATTAAATCAATCCCCCAATAGACTAATGTCAGTTTCCTCATTTTTCCAGGCCTACGTTGGTTATTAATCCACGATCATCAGGTATTAAAGGATCGAGAAAATCCGTTCCATGTGTTAAGAGATTGCTTGTCGAAAATCTGCCGATCTAAAGAAAGCAGAAGCTTAGTGTACGAGTACCGCACGCTTGTGTACAGTTGAACAACGATACGTACTCTTCCGATCGCGTAAAAAGTTTAATCACAGGCTTTCCGAACGAAGCTGTCATCTCGCGATATTAGAAAAAACACTCGTAAACAGAGATCGCTTAGGATCATCAATGGTACTTGTAAGTCTTTCTGTGAATGAGTTTAAACACATGATGAGAAAGTTATACTTTTTGAATTGGAGACGTCGGCTGCTATATATCCAAATCAATATGAACGTAAGATATTGATATGGGTGTACAAATATTTCGTAATGAAATCGTGGTATTGGCTGATTGCTTATTTTTCTCTTTTTCCATTTTTTTTTCTTTTTTTTATTTTCTTCGTTTCGATGCTCGCTGCGCCTCTTGTGGCTTCTTTTTTAAGGGAGAATTCAAGCTTCTCACGAACATGTACAAAAATTTGTTTCCAATTTCATCTTTGGGCGAATTAAAAGCAAAAAAAAAAAAAAAAAAGAAATTCTCTTAGAAGCAACGTGTCACAAGATGGTACAGTGAGTCAACGGGGTGGACACGAATGCTGTATTTAAGCTCAGCGTATTTATAATATTTTTACTCAATAGAAATTTGGTAGCTCACTTTTAACAATAGTGCATGTTGCTTTGACTCGGGCTACAAGTTTCTCGTGACAAAAGGAAATACTAAACATAAATATATATTTGTCAAACTATCTCATAGTTATTTAGTTATTTTGTATCCTTCATGTAATATTGAATGAAATAAATCAGAAATAAATCAGTGACATTGAATATGAAACTTGTAGCCAATTTTGCACGTACTTGTAGTTGATACATAAGGAAAAAGTATACTTTCTTCAACAACAGTAGAGCGTTAGTTTATTTCCGTTTAATTGGACAGAAACAGAAAAGAAAAGAGAGAAAAATTTATAGTGTGTATACATTAATATATGTAACATGTAAATGAATATTGTTTCTCGATAGTAGCTTTGACAAAGCAAAGAAGAAGAAACATAATAAAATCGTGGTTAAATTGTTAAAAGGAAAAAAAATTGATAAAAATAACATGAAGATGAAAACATGCTTCATCGATTAAACAAGCAAAACGATGAAGCGTGTCTCACACATATCCTCTAAATATGTGCAATGTATAACAGAGAACAATTTCAAAAGCGAAATTATGTTTGTTTGCCTTCTTATCTACTTTGTGTGCAAATATATAAATATATACATAGCTTTAATCATTTTTTACATATTTGTATTTTAGTTTGCATGCTTGGAATGCATTACTAGAAAAGACACGTGACGTGCGAGCTTCTTCTAATTATTGACATTTAATTGTTACGTTTTTATTGTTATTTCCCAACGATTGAGAATACAGAAAGAATATAAATATTTTTGACTTTTAAATTTTCCTCCTTCATAGAAGTTTCTCGCACGTTTGAACATATAATGCATGTTCATAACATGTGGTAGATTTTTTCATAATTCTATTTTTTATGTTTGCTCGCTCGTTGCCTTCTTAACTTTCTAATGACTGATGTATCTCCCCTTTTTGCAGAGGAAAGCTTTTCTTACGAATGAATTGTAAACATCCTTTCCGAAGAGTAGTCGAGAAATGGTTAAGAAGGGATCGAACAAATTGTTCTCGTCGATTTTTAATTGTATAGTTGAAGAATTTCATAAATGGTCTTTCAGACTCGATACAGAGATGTTCCTATTCCTGATCGTAAACGAACCATCGAATTCATTAACATCTTTGAAATTTTTTTTTTTTCTTCCTTCAACGAAAGTTCTGGGAAATTATTGAGAAATTGGTACAGTCCGGATTGTTATTACGAGGTCATAGGAATCTCTCGGAGCGTTTTTGAATTGCATGTGCATGTTTGGCAGAATATATCATGTATACTGTTAATAGTGAGCTTAAATATGAGATAGTATTTAACGATATTCATCGAGAATTGTCGTGAATATATAAGGGTACCTCTACCTTCTCAAACCCAGCGGCCTAGACATGTTCGATAAAACGTCGATTGAATCTATATCGAGACTACAAACTGAGGGAAGAGTATCGGATGAACAGACATAATCTGATTGTACAATTTCCTCCTGAATTGAGATTACAACTCAAGGTAGAACAAAACAGAACAAAATATTAAAATATTGAATAGAGAAGATCTATAAGTTTTGAAAAGAAATATCTGTAAGTTAAGTTTTGAAGGAAACATGTAATTTATATTTTTAATATATAAAATTATATAATAATTTTACTTCAGTGTATTATCCAATTTTTTATAAAAACAATTAATTATAATTGAGCTATTACTATTGATGATTTTTCAGTTTTCAAGGTAATTATTATTTTTTAAAGAATTTATCTCACTACTTAAAGTTTTTCAAATAGTAATGGACAAATTTAACGAAAACTTCGATCATTCCTGGGTCGCTGGATTCTCTAAGGCACAAAAAACTGTTCCACCGAAGCATTTCGATGAATAAAGTCTAGTTTAAAAAAAAAATATTAAAAATAAACGGATCGCGATGTTTGTAACGGAAACAAAACGGGCAGATTTCGCCCAGTTTCTCGTATAAACGAATAAAACGCGAAAGACCATTCGGTTCTGATGGTAAATTAGGTCGAATATGCTCATTGGGACAAATTAGGTTTCGAAAGTAATAACAGAGAGCAAGATGAGAGGGAAATGCGTGCGTGTACGAGAGAAAGGCGGGTCGAATAAAGAGCAGAAAGAAAGGGGACGAAAAAGTGGGAAAGGCAGAAAGAGGGAAAAGAGAAGGAAAGGAATTAGGTAAACGTAAAAGCAAAAAAAAAAGAAAAGAAAAAATAACACTGTTCAAGTTACCCAGTAAACTCGTACTAGCATTTAATATTATAATCAATTGTTATTGGATTCGATGATTGTTTGCACCGTGGCACTGACACATAAATTTATTATTCGATTGAAGGTTGATCCAAACGACGGATATACGAGTCCTCCTCTCTTACGAATGAAACATTTTAAAAGAAGCTGTGCCTGATCATTGCTTTTAGTTACGCGAAGGATGAAGGAAACAGTACCGTCCTACACACGAGTCTGTATAAAGTGCAATATAACGTAATTTGAGGAGAGTGCTCGTTTCCATGCGTTGGACCAGTGTTCAATTATCATGGACAATTTGGTGTGGGCTGACGTCTATGTTAGAGTACAACATGTCCATCCACTGCTACTGGGCTTGAGCTATTTATCATACGCGTATCTTCTACGTTAACTTCGCGTTCTAGATCTTCAAGATTTATTGGATTAAACGAGAGATTTTCGAACGGCAGAAGCAATAAGATTGTGAGCTACGTTCCGTTCGTTCTCTTTGTGTTACAGATATGAAAAGAGAGAAGAGAATGCAACATATTTTTTTTAATAGCGTTTTGCGTATGCTAAATGGCTATGGAACAGAGCACAATTTAGTCTCTACTTTAAAAAAAAAAAAAAAAAAA